TTAGGGACCCCCAGGACAACCAGCAATGGCACAGCGCTCTGCATGAGTCACTGAGGCTGAGGTCCTTCCACACTAAGTCTCCGATTCCATTCTGGAGTCATCTGAATCTGCCTGATCTAACACTTGGGGTAAATTTTAGTCGAGATTAGAACTGAGGTACAACGTGTTCTAATCTACAAGTATATATAGAGGGAGGAGGAGAAGGACTTTAGTCAAAGTCTGAGTGATACTGACAAACAATGAAAGGTGCCGAATGATATCTTTAATGGGGAACCGAGGTGTCGGGTCGAGGAGGGTGGAGTAGAAGGCTGGAGGATAAATGGGAACAAGAAATGGGTAAGGGGAAGTTAGCCGACTGAATGGAAGGAAGACAACAGTCATACTACAAATGGAAGGTGACTAATTTAAGATGATGTGAGTGGGATCACTGGAGGATGCGGGTAGCTCTGAAGATGGAGTTACATGTCCAAAGGATGTTGGGTGACTCCACTAAATGAAATGGGAGGGGGAATGGTTTAGAGGTATGTAACAAGATGTCAGAGATCTGTCAGGAGGTTGGAGCAAATCCAGAGGCTCCAAATGTTCTGACTCGGGACCAAGCTTCCGGGATGGGAGTGGCCAAGGCCAAGTGTGCCGAAATCCAGGCCAGAGCTAAGACAGTTGGGATGGAAGGTGACGTTGGGAAGTGGGGAGGTATGGTGTAGGGGATGATGATATAAGACGAAATGTTGGACTAGCTAGCGATGTTGTCGCTCAGTCCGCTATGCGTGAACTAGAAATATATAGGAAGTATTCACCTAGCAATGTTGTCGCTGGTGTAAGAATATTAGATACAAGTTGTTAAACACATAAATGAAGGAGAAAACTTAGACTCACCTCAGTCCGCTATGCGTGAACTGAGGAAAAGTCGTAAGGTCCAAAAAATGGTGTTTTATAGTCAGGCGCTATCAATGCGCACTGACTTTAGTAACAACTGATCCAAAAAAGGGAAACAAAGTAAATCTTAGCGCCGCAAGACTCAACATCAACAACGTGAGTTGGCCTCAGTGTACGCTTGTATCCCAAGAAATTTAACAGATGAGGTTGTTAGGAAGGTGTAATGAGGTGGGAGAGTATGGGGTCAGGATTCCAGGATATGACAGCTTGCACTTATGCCCTTACACCTGAAATAAACAGGGAAATGAGATAACATTCCCAAAATATCATTACACATGGCAAGCTAAGTTTAAGAGACACAGGCAATTTTACATGCAACCAAGCTTATCAAGATCAAATGAAATATCAACCATGAGTACTTGACCAGTTTCAAATCCAAATGCCACCAAAGATTCCAGAAAGGCCCAGGTAGACAGGGTATGATTAGAAGGTAGAGAGAAAAGGTAAGATCCATTCACACAAAGCCATTGTCCATCCTTGACAAACACAGTAGACACTTCATTTTGGAAAGCCAGATGCCTCAGAACAGAAGCCTCAGATATCACTGAATCAGAATGACCCTCAAGTGTCTTGAGGTGGGTTCCAGTGTAGGGGTCCCACAGCCAGATGGTACAATCATCTGATGCTGATGCCAGGAACAATCCATCTTGAGAGAAGGCCACAGATGTCACCCAATGGGAATGGCCTTCAAGTGTCTTGAGGTGGCTCCCAGTGTGAGGGTCCCACAGCCTAATGGTATGATCATATGATGCTGATGCCAGGAGCAATCCATCTGCAGAGAAGGTCACAGATGTCACCCAACGAGAATGGCCTTGAAGTGTCTTGAGGTGGCCCCCAGTGTGAGGATCCCACAGCCGGATGGTATGATCACCTGATGCTGATACCAAGAGTAATCCATCTGGGGAGAAGGTCACAGATGTCACCCAATGACAATGGCCTGCAAGTGTCTTAAGGGGGCTTCCAGTGTGAGTGTCCCACAGCTTGATCACATGATCACGTGATGCTGATGCTAGGAGTAATGTATTTGGGGAGAAGGCCATAGATGTCACTGAATCAGAATGACTCTCAAGTGCCTTGAGGTGGCTCCTAATGTGAGGGTCCCATAGCCCAATGGTACGTCCACCAGATGCTGATGCCAGGATCAAGCCATCTGGTGAGAAAGCCACAGATTTCACCCAACGAGTATGCTCAACTGTCTTAATGTGGTTCCCAGTGTGAGGGTCCCACAGCTTGATGGTACGATCATCTGAGGCTGATGCCAGGAGTGACCCATCTGGGGAAAAGGCCACAGATGTCACTGAATCAGAGTGACCCTCAAGGGCCTTGAGGTTGCTTCCAGTGTGAGGATCCCATATCACCATGGTCCGATCAGAAGATGCTGACACCAGGAACAATCCATCTGGTGAGAAGGCCACAAATGTTGGTGAATCAAAATGGCCCTTAAGTGTCCTGAGATGGCTTCCAGTGAGAGGGTCCCACAGCCTGGTGGTACAATCACCTGATGCTGATGCCAGGAGCAACCCATCTTGGGAGAAGGCCACAGATGTCACCCAACCAGAATGGCCCTCAAATGTCCTGAGGTGGCTCCCAGTGTGAGAGCCCCACAATTTAATGGTGCAATCACTTGATCCTGATCCCAGGAGCAATCCATCTGGGGAGAAAGCCACAGATGTCACCCTACCACAATGGCCCTCAAATGTCCTGAGGTGGCTCCCAGTGTGAGGTTCCCACAGCCTAATGGTATGGTCACCTGATGCTGATGCTAAGAGCAGTCCATCCAGGGAGAAGGCCACAGATGTCACAGAACCAGAATGGCCCTCAAGTGTCTTGAGGTGACTTCCAGTGTGAGGGTCCCACAGCCTAACAGTACAATCATCAGATGCTGATGCCAGGAGCAATCCATCTGGGGAGAAGATGACAGATATCACCAAATCAGAATGACCAATCAGAGTGGCAATGCTGAAGGGCCACTCCAACCCACGTCCAGTTAGAACAACTGCAGTTGGACTGGGTGCTTGTTGGAAAGCCTCTAACAGCTGACTATTGGTGGGAAGAGATGGCAAAATCGACTGGCTGATGTGGGCTGCACTGGCTTTAATGGCTGGGGCATAGGTCAAAATCATCCGAAAGGCTTCATGCAACACAGGGGCAATGTGCACCAGGAGATTTGCAGTTCTCTAATCTGACACTCAGTGATATGATCCTCAGCTAGACAGTATGACAACTGACCATCCAGGGAAGAGCATTGCGCAAACTTCTGACTGCATCACCCACATGCCCAATCATACTCATGACCCTGACCCACCGCAGTAAAAGACCCTTTCCAGAACTGCTCCTAGCACCAGTGAACTTCTCCAGTGCCCTCCTAACCTCATCATCAACCATCTGGAGCTTTCCCAGATGGAATGTCCAAAAGCGGCACGCATACTCCACTTCTTCCCCCACAAGTGAAGTGAGCTTGACACTTAGATCCTTCACATCGGTATTGAGTGAATACCATGGTACAATCCCATCTACTGCTGGAACTAGCCCAGTAATGAGAAGAGTCAGGCAGCGGAGGGTCATCCACCGCTCATGCCTTTCCACATCAACCCTAAGCTGGGGGTCCTTGCACCGTTGTAACATAAAGTCAGGGAAGGAGGGGTGGTAGACCTCAATTCCGCCTTCCGGCAGTGGAGGCAGCGGTATGATGGATTGAATGCGTATGAGGAGTGATTTGGGATCAGAAACCATCGCGAAAGCACCGAGCGCTTTCAAGGGTAACGGATCATTGAGCAGAACAATGGTGTGTAGAAGACGATGGAGCGGTTCAAGCATGCCTCGCGGGGTTTTGGCAACACAGGCAGACAAAACTGTTCCATAGAGCTTATCAAGTTCAGCATAGGGACTCCGGCCAGCTGCGTCGCTGTCATTCAAGAGCAATTCTAGCTGATACATCGGATTCAGAGCGTCGTCGTCTTCTATGAACTTGACAGCAGTAGCAGCCCAGATAAAGAGTCGGCCAGCTTTCTTCGTAAGAGCCGAAACCATAACGGATGATGGCCACCCATCTGGGACAGTGTCATTGAACCGTTGGGAAATAAACTCGAACTGACCCCAAAAATACAACTCGATGTCCTGTGAAGCGACATGCTTATCGACTTCGTGAATCACGATCTTGTCCACGTTCACGGCTCGGTTGAGGTCTGTGGTGATATGGTGCTCTGGTCGGCTTGTCATGAGCATACGGAGGCAGGGAATGCCAGTGCAACCAGGAACAATGTAACGGAGCAATTCTTTCACTCCATCCACATCATCTCGCTTGCACTCATCCAGAGCATCAATTACTAGGAAAAGAGGCTCGGATAGCTCGAGGCCTCGAAGGGGCGCGAAGAGGAGCGAGGAGCATTGGGTGGCAAAGGAAGCGTGGGGAATATTCTCATCCTCCTTCAACGCCTCTGCGACAGCCGCACCAAATTCAGGAAGTTTCCTAGCGAAGTTCCGCACAATTGTTCCAAGGAAGAACTTCGCACTGGACAACTCGGCATGTTGGCGGACAAAGAAAAAGCTAGAACCGAGGAGGCCACACTCGTCGGCGTACTGCGCAATGGTACGTGCGATGGTCGACTTGCCAATCCCTGCTAGGCCATTAACCCAGAACACTGGTTTGCTTGTATCATTGATCGGCCGGTGCAACCACTGCTTTATATGATTAAGAATTTCGGTTCGCGTTCCAGGAAAACAATTAGATGGGGCACCAGGTCGGTTGGTATCATAGCCAGCGCCGAGAACATGGGGAAGTTTGTTGAGATAGGGTTCCGCTTCTCTTTCCAAGGATTCGCCGTGTTTCTGTACCATCACAAGTCAGAATGTATAATTTTCATGCTCAAAGACGGACAGCTGATACCTCAGTCTGGCTATGAAGTCGCTAAAACATGGGTCAGCTTAGGAGCTTGGGAGCTAGTGCAAACTGTACGGTACCTCAATCTGATCATGCAAATCCTTGTGCATATTTTTCATTCCCAAATTGATATTTTTTACCCCCGAATCGATCGTTTTCATTCCCAGATCAATTGTTTTCATCCCTAAATGAACTTGGACTGCTTGCGAAGCCTACGTCCATTGGACTAGTATTTAGTGTAAGTTGTATGCATAGTAGAAGGACGCCGACCAGAAAGGCCGTCACACCATCACGAATCTTAATCCCAGCCACGCGAATATCCCTTTCGATTTGGTCGCGATTCGCCCATAGGGACGCAGAGTTCTTGTGGCGATACGATTGCAATGTTGTAATAGTCGCAACAAGTTGGCTGAAGGAAGCAGTCAGGTCATCCTAGCCCTGATAAGCATCCAGAAACGTGAACACACGTCGATAAAGCCTCGACGGCCTCAGCAACCTCGGGAGGAACGGGGCCCTTGGCGGCATATTGTTTGAGAGGGTCCGATACTGAACGATTAAAGAATTCGATGTTGTTCTGAAGCTGAGAAATCGCCTCTGCGTTCGCTTCTGCTTTCTGCAAGAGCTCAAATCATGAACATGATGTTCTCATTACCCCATTATGAAGAACGCACCTCCAATTGGCCGACTACCTCGAGAAAGCCACCGATCGCGCTTTTGAGGCCAGGAACAGGCACATCGTCTAGGCTAGCCTGCGCGACACGCAGCACGCTCAGGACGCCGTTCCAAACGGTACCAGAACCCGTATTGCCCTTAGTGCCTCCCTTGGGGTTCCCCGCGATATTCCCCTTGGTATCGCCAGATGACGACGGCAAGAGCGTGGGAGAAGGCACCCTTGAAGCCTGTTTGGTATTTCCCTTGGTGTCGACCGGCCACAACGGCAACTGCGTAGGAGAGGGCACCCCTGAGGTTGAGTAACTTTGCGCTGATGTAGCTTTCTTGGAGAATATCCCCTTGAGTTTCCCCTTGAGCCCCCCTTGGTTTCCTTCGCATATGGCATGTTTGATAGATTGTGATGACAAAGGTTCAACAGGTTGTCAAGTTATAACTGCGTACCAGCCCCGATTTCACCCAATTAGGAAGTCCTTCACACAACAAGCGCCCGCACGATCTAAAATACACGATACAATACGGCAGGCAGAACTGGGGTTCCGTCGACGGGCCATGGACGAACCATCCGTGAATGGGGAACACCTCACCTGCGACCTTATGGTTCTCTCTGTCAATGTGGGGCATGATGATACCTGCAACTTTTTTTTAAAAGCTGCTTGTGCCCAATATGACCATTAGTTGGAACTGCCACGTCATCTCCAAAAGTCCCATCATATGTTTCGTTTTTGTGCTCCGCCAAGCCGGAGGTGATGGTCTACACGATAATCGAAAAACCCCACTTACAATAATCATACAGTGGTGCAGGATTTTTCGTGAAATTCCATGATCATCCGCTGGAATTCCTTTTCTCAGTGCTCTCGCCAACACCTTTGACTTAGAAATTCAGATACTGCCATATATAGATATACAAGCTGTCGCTGGCTGGTTTCAAAATATTTTCGAGACATGGCCCTGCACACGACCATTGTCCTTCCACTAAGGGGTACGTATTATCAGGGTTAGTCCATAAGACTACTCCATTCTCGGATGAACCAGTTGACAATCAGATGTGCAGAGCGAGAACCCAACAATGCATAGTCTCTGAATTTTACTCGACCACTGAAAACCTCCAGTACTGATAAGGGGCATAGGCTTGTCGAAGCAGGACAGGGGTACGGTTAGCAGAACTCCCATCGTTCCCGAGGTCCAAGCTCAGATGGGTCTCCTCAATAAAAATTCTGTGAAGGTGGAGTCAGCGAATGACAAAGGTTCGCTATTGTATTCTGACAAGCGAACCTGTAGCTGTCGTTGGAGCTCGGGTCCTTCTCAATCGACCAACTGAAACTAGGGGTGTCGATCGCAGCTCCATATGTCCCAGTTTCGATTACGCCATCCAGTCCGAGGTACTTTCCGGTGCCACTCTTGATAGTGTATAGCCCATCACCGATGTTCTCAAAGAACCACTACAAGTCAGGAAGCAGCGACACCAAATGAACTCAGATATCCGGACGCGAAAATAGTTCTTTAATTATCATACCTGCTGGTTCTTGCCTCCGTTTGCTTGGTGACCGTGAATGCTCCTGGGGGGTGAACTCGATTGGAACCTTCAGCGTCTGGCGAGACCGGCGTGTGTCACTCACTAGAAGCAATATTAGAGGGTGAGGGTGGGGAAAGGGGAAGTGGCGTGAGACTTGGACCCGACCGTAACATTCGAACAGATGTCCAGAGCAAACCTTGTTGTCCCATGCGCTGAGGTCAAGAACTGTCCCGCTCTTGCTGTTGATCAACTGTGCAAAGACAGCCTCAGCTAATCCCTATGTCATAAAGCAATGGCACGTACAACGTAAAATGTGTTTGGTTTGAAGGTCATGTTCAGCCACGTGGGAGGTAAGAATGACCCCTCCAATGAAGAAACCCCCCGGATCTTTATAGATGCATGGGGGAGAATTCCATTTCGTTTTCGCAACCGAGAATGTCGTGGCAATGCTGAGATAGAACAACCCAGCACGCGGTGAAATGCTGCTACATAATCATGATTCTTGACCTGGTGACCATGATTCAAATGAATAGTATTTTAGGAACCATTCTAGAGTGTCATGACCCACGCATAGTTCTCGATTCAATTTCTTATCATCCCTGAGAAGAAAGCCCATATCACATACCCAACAGCGCTGACCCTCCTGCCTCACGAGGAGCGACTAGTCGGAGTATCGTTTCAGGTGACGTGATTGATAAGAGATGCGCGCGCATCAAAATTGCGCTAAATCCATTGTAAACAACTACCAGAGGGAAGAGTGTGATATCGGGAGCGGAAGAATCCCAAACTGCGACCCTACACCCCAGAAGCAAGTTGCTCAACAGCAGATGGATGCATGATCGCCAGAATTATATGAAAACAATTGAGAGTATCAACCCATAAGAAGCAGAGACGGGAAACTTGGAGAATAGTGCAGTAGTTACCCTTTACGTAGTTCACCCGCAGATATTCGGGTACAGGCGTTCTGTGGGATCTTGAGGGATCCAACCTCCTGAAAGCCCCTTTTCGTAGCTCCACTCGTCCGTGGCTTCGGTCTGAATGGCAGAAAATTGATTTCAGAGCGTTAAAGCGGAAAAAGCGCGATACAGGCGCTCACCTTCCATGTCCAGTAAATCCATCCGCCTGCCTTTCCGAAAGAGCTTGTCTGCGATTTTGGAAAAATCAGATCTATCTCGGATAGTAGTATGACTAGGATGTATTCGACCCCTACCTGGGCTTCGAAATACTTGCGCATGAACCTCTAATTGCAATGGATTAGTCCTGCCTATGCGATATGCAGAAGGCGATGCCTGGGCAACCGCACCTTGTAAGAATCGCTAAACCTGCTCGACGATCCCGTGAAAGGCCAGCAAACGCCAAGCTTTCGAGAGCCAGGATACGTTCCATCGTAACGAGCTGAAACGAAGTCATTGAGCAACACAAAACTTGGGAGCACCCCTAGTGACGACTTACACCCCACACCCCGACCGTTGATGTACTTGGCGCAATCGTAAGGAGTTGTTGTCCATCTGTGACAAACCAGTTTGTACGGGGAAAGAGTTGCAATTTTTTGTTGGGTACTTACTCCCCAACGATCGTCCACAGATTTCCTGGTGTTTGGGCCCATGAGGCAATGGCGTCACCGCGCTGACAAGCAGTCTATAGTGGCGCATCAAAAGGTAGATAGCGCGCGCAGATCATCACCTACGGCATAGTGCTGTGGCCAAGTCTTTGCAACGTCGGCGTTGCTAAAAATCTTAGAGGACAAAGGACAATAATTGATATTGTGAAGATCTTCTGATTATTACGAAGTGCAGACCTGATAATGGTGCGTATCCATCAAGACGTTACTGAATCTTGAAGATGGCATGACACCGCTCCAAAAAGAGAGATCCTGGAAAGCATCATGAAGGACCAGGACCATATTACCCCCATTGTTTCGTATTTTGTCGTAGGAGCCATAATAGTATTGACGAGTCACGGGAAGAATATTGCCGCCTACAAATCCTGCTGGTTCGTTGACTCTTGGAAAATCCAGAGTCAATTTCCATTGAGAGAAAGGCCCACGCGCTGGCTTACGGCTGAATGGCACTAACAACATTGGCATACGAAGCCTTGGAGAACTCCACCGCAAGGGTTTGAATGATAGTATTGGAACGATCAATATTGGATTGCGAATTTGGCCAGTTAACAGGGCCCTTGCGGCCAGAATTGTCAAAGCCATTCTGCAGCATAGTGAATAACGAAGCAATCTTGATTTCAGGGTCCAATTGTGTACCTGGGATCCAGGAAGGCCATGCACGTCGATAATCACAAATAGACCTTGATTTCTCGCCCAGCCAACGGCTTTAAGAAGATAGGGATACTGAAAATATGGGACAAGTAAGTGAGGCGGCAGAGGAATCGAAACACGATCCGGCACCTGCCCGCTGATGAATGGTTCCCCTCCAGACGTGTCGAATGCCCAGTATCCGCTGCAAGTTCAATGATTCGAATGTCTTTGCCCATCGGGTGTGGGGACCAAACTCACATAGGGATCCTAACATGGTTCAAGCCGGCTGCAGCGATAGCAGCAAAGTCAGACTCGGTGTAAAAAGTATCCCAGTGACTCTGCAAAGTCGCAGCTGCAGTTGCTCTGTCCTGAAAAGCACAGAACGTCCATTCGTCCACAATATTATCGCTTCCTATGGTCGTTATTGAGCACCACGCACTTATGTGGTCGAGAAGAACGTCGTACTAGCCTGTATTATCAAAAAGCGACGGAGTTATCCATGGCTCCAAGACAAGCCATCCACCGATGTTCACACCGCGCACTTTTTCGCTTCCGTAAGGGAATCTGGGGGGCGCCCACTCCTTGGCGGGAGCAGAAATGGTGCCGCTGACAAAGTGAGTGTGTGTGTGTGATTGTGGTAAAGAATGCACGCGTTAGGACAGTTCGGCTCGAGGCAGGGGTTCAGGGCCTACTGGTACTTAAGGGACAGGAGCCAATTCTCAAAATATCCAGAGAAAAGATGAAACGCTTGGAGTAGATAAGCGGCTAGTTGCATAGTTTGGGGAGAGGGGTGTGCCAGTGGGCAAGGATGGGATCCTGCAGAGGTGATAGGGGGACCATCTTTTATGTGATTGGCAAGTCACATTGCAAATGGAAATGACCTTGCTCCTCTCGCTTATGTTGAGATCGTGGGAATGATCACCCGCCGGCAAATGTGTTGAGGCGCCCTCACTTGCCCAAAGCATGTATATGAGTACGTGGGAATCGATAGTAGACATCTCCTGTAGCTACTATATATAATCGAGTGTCTGACGACTTTTCTGACCCGATGAGTTTCCATCTCGATCGTCGGCGTCTGCCGATTTTGAAAACGCTTGCGAAGGATCAAAATATTATCGCCAGGCACAGTTTTTGCATAACCTGATACAAATCTGTTCCTTGCACGATGAAATTTAGGATGTGCCCGCTCGGATTCTCGGGCGCACTACGCCAAGCTCGACCCCGACCTCCCAACCACCCAGAGTCAAATGTCCCTGGCTGAACTATTTGGTAAGGCGACAAGCTTGAAGGCTTCAGTGGGGAAGCTCACGGGGGCCAAAGTCTGTCGGTGCGGGGGTCGAGGGAGACCCCCTCCTTAAGACCCCAAAGGAGCCACCTGTAGGGGTCGAGAGGCTAGCCTCAGTGCAGTGCATATTTCCTTGTTAATACAATGCACAGCGACGCACAAGTTCGGCCCTGGAACATAGCGAAAATGGTCTCGTTCCGTCGTCATTATTCCAGCGTGATAATGATTTCTTGACTACCGAAGAATTGAGGGTGCCGTCAGACTGCGCCAAGTTTGAAGGGTACCCCAGCAACTATAGGATAGCAGCCTGTTCAAGCCCCTCGAGCTTACCTTACCAGTCGCACGGCGTCTTAAAGCGACGGCTCGTTAGAATTGCGCAATAAAGTGTTCACCCAAGCGCCAGATGGTCCGACAGCAGACGGGAGCCCTTGGAGTTGTGAGCAAGGCTGTCCGGTGAAAGTTGCCCGACGCCCAGGCTTTCCGAAGGTCACAGGCTGCTTGGGCAGCAGCCAGCTTGTTCCCCCGCTGAACGCGGGACCAAATATTGACTGTCACCGAAGAACGCCTTTAATCTCAGCAGGATGGCTTATTTTGCCTCTGGGTGACATCGGGTCATGTCTTCCAGTCGTGTGTCTGCGCTCAGCACAGCATTGCAAATACTGGCGAAGGGGATTCCTACTACATGGATTAAAAAGAGGAACGGGATAAGTTGCCCTATACGGCCTAATCCTCTCCCTCAAGCACCTATTACTCATCACGGGATCAATATAACTAGGTGTCGTAGCGAGGGGGGGTCATGATACCTTCTTAGATACAAAATCATGTTCCAAGAGCATGCTCCCCATGCTCTCGGAATCCTGAGAGTGAATGAATTGATTCCCCAATTCGTCCAATTCCCCAGCTTGCACCACGAACGTCCCACACTTGCATCTCACTATTGCACCATTGCGTCTGTGCGTGCAACCTCAATGGCCATGCATGCAACCTCAACGGCTGCCAACATCAAGCCTGTCTCGTTTTTTTTTTCCCCCTTGCAACGTCACGATGTCGAATCAATGATCAATTTGTATGTATCATGAAATATTATGTACTTCGAAGCGCCACATATCACTGCAACAAAGGCATGTTGGCACCCAAGGACTATCTACATGCATACAGGGGCATGTTATCGTCAAGATCCCATTACGTAGAAGGATCTGCTTGATCACTAGCCGAGGGAGAATGCTCAAGGTGTGGAGTTTTGCGCTTACGGCTGTTGCAATCATGAAGCACACAGAAACTTAGCATGTCATTTTTGAGACAGAATCGAATCCCTTACCCTCTCTTAGCGCCAGGTGCCCTTCCTGAGCTTGAAGCGGCGGTAGAGGGGCTAACGGCCGCTGAGTGTTGACCGTGGTTCGCGCTTAGAACAGTTCACATCAGGTAAGTGTGCTACGAGTGCCCGACTACCTACATGTCTGATGGAGAAGCAGTATCGGCATCGTTCTGGTTTGCTTGACTGTACAGGCAATGAACCCCTGCGCTGGAGGCACAATGAAATGAACATACTTATGGAGATACCGCTCAGCTTTATCCCTTGAAATCTGACATAATTCATCCACAGCGTGCTGGATGTCATCATCTGGCGCCACAATCCACTTGATGGACCCATTTTCCCAACCTTCAACCAGTCTGATCGCGTCTTCCTTTCGTAGCCACTTTGGGTTCACAATTTTGTCGGGCGGGTGAGCAGACTCGTCAATCATGAGCTTATGTCTTCTAATTAAGCCAAGATAGCCTTCTCGTTCCCATTTCATTACAACATTTGGGTCCCCCGTTGCCTCACCTGTTAATGTTGTAAGTTTTTCGAGTTCAGCCATGCAGATTAGTACTCACGAAGACCATCTCTAATCAGGGCAGTAAGTTTAGACCGCAAGCGCGCTGTATTGTCCTTGGCGACTTTCACCACACCTACCATCCAGCCGTTTGAGGTCATTTCTGAACTGGGTGAGTAAGAGTTATTGCCTACCTGTGACACCTGATATTGCAAACCCTTCCATCTCTTGCGCGCGAACCATCATGTCCTGCTTCAGAGTAACTGCCCAGAACTCTTTGGCACGCTCGGTTGCCCACACATATGGGGTGAAGACGTCCCCAACACGGCTTTTTGTCAAGACAATGAGGGACTCAATACCGCACGTCTCGTTGATGCAGGTGGCCTGGTCCGCCTGTAAGTATCAGCGCTGGATATTAGTAATATCACTCACAATTTCTTCAATCTGGTTCTGTGCATGGTATGCCAACCGGTGGGCACTGAGCTCGGGTGATGCTACGTGCTTCTTGGTACCACGATGTTTGCGACTAGTGAGGACTCCATCCAGCAGTACCCTCCGGTGGCATTCATCCTCAGGTGTCTGGGGGTTGCTTACATCTTCCTGAGTAACAATGCCCGTTTTGATATCGTCCAATAAACTCAGGTAAGCAGTGTCATATGACATTTTCGAGAGCGATTCCGCTAAGATGAATCAACAACAGATTGTGATTGACATGCAGTGGTCTTGACTTACTGTCCAGGTGACCTGCTTCTGCAATGGCATGAGCCCATGCGTTGCTAACATGTGGGCTCCTAGTCTTCTTATTCTCTCCCATTGTAAAGAGGATCTGATCTCGAACCTGTTTAGCTGAGCGGTGCACACCTCGTCCTGAAAACTCGTTCGCTATCGCATTCACATCCTGCTCGAACTTCTCCTTCAATTCCTGAACACGGCGATTGAACGCCTCTTTTGCTGCCTTGCCATTTGGTTTCTCTGGGGTGCCATTGCCTGCAGCCGGTGTGGCATTTACAGTGCCAAACTCTCCAAATTCAGATGGCCAATACGACATGAGAGTGTGCATTTGGGTACACGTTGAACACGTGGTTAGTCAAAAATTTACAAGCCTGTGGCCCCACTGATTTAAGCACTAGATGGAAAGATGGAATTCGCAGATATTTTGTACAAAAACAATCTTAATCGCGATTTTCTAACCAAGCCTCGCACATCTGAATGAGACAACGGACGAACGCCTTACTGATTGAGAAATGGGACCTGAGGACTTGAGCAAGATCCTCCACAGCAATCTTCTCATTGAGGCAGAGGGCGCTGATGGCGTTGATATCGGCTTCACTAAATTGGGTGGAGCTTTTGTCGCTGATGGATTGCAAGAGCATCGATAGGTCGGAGCTGGTTGAACTGGAGGCTACTACGCTTGGGGGGCCATCGGTTCGGTGGCGGCTATATGACCCAGCGAGCTGGCCTGATGATGAAGGATACAGAGCCACCTGGGAGATGGAGTCTGTCGATGATACTGTTGGCCTACCAGACGGTTTGTTCACGAAAACCGGTGCTCCAAGTGAAGTAAGTGAGGTATCTGCCAGTTCTTGACACAACTGTTCAAGCGTCATTGTCTCATTGTCGGCTTGGGTCGAGCAATGAACGCTTGTCCAGCTTCCAGCACTCATGGCCAGTTTACCGGCCCTGGGGCTCAACTTAACACTGTTGCCACCCTTGGTCCTCCTTCCGCTGGCGCTGGCGCTTTCACTGCTGGGTGCAATATGAGGGAGCTGCACTATTCCTCCATTGGTGGCAGGCAAACGTGGGACCTGGAATTCAGTTGCCAACGGCGCCTTAACAATCCCAGGGCATTGGGAAGTAGAAGAAGCAATGATCCTCGGTCCTACCTGTGGCTGATCTATTACTAGCCTGTAAGCCGGTATTCGAGTGGAATCAGCTTTTTCAACTTACGCGACAAACTGTGCTGAACTACAGACTGCCAGGCAGCAACGGAGGTGCTTAAGTGAGTCTGGGAACCGGGTGGTGATTCAATTTTGGCCTCAGAATGACTGTCGACAAAGGGGTTGGCAGTACAAGAGGCGTTGGGGCTGATGTGGGTCATCATGGACAATGAGCAGCATGGTCGCTGAGTCCGTGGTGTACACTGGCATGGCTCTAGCTTCTGCAAGATTTCTTGCTTGAATTCGTCCCATTCAGGTCGGCCCTTAATGGATTGGGATGCGAGGACTTGCACGCTCAACACTTCTTTCCTGTAGTCGATCACGGACAAACTTGGCACACCGAAGAAGTCAAGTACGTTCATCTGAAGTTCAACACTGAGTAATTTTGCAAGGTTAAAACTATGTACTCACCGCAGGCGCCGTGTCCTTAAGCAACCTGTTGATTTTTTCGACATGCTGATAGATACTTTGGCGAGCAACCCGTTTGACTTCAGCCTCTAGAACATCGGCAGGTACTGCATCTTCCAAAGTCTCGCCTCTGATTGGGCTTCTCCCTGAGAGGGGGTTTATTGGATTGACACATGGCAACATCGAAATGTCGAACAACTCACAGTTAGTTCTCTGGGCATGCCAAAATGACTCTAAAAAGCCATCACTGACGCCAGAATTCTCCAAAGCCCTCACTTCATCAGTGTTCCAGTCGTTCCTGACAGCCAACAGGTGGAGGTAACGCTTGAACGCAGTTTCCGCCTTGGGCCTTACAGCATGCCATGGTGAGATTATCGTGGCTAGTTGCTCTGGTTAGTTTGTGAAAAAGAAAGCCAGACTACTCACTATCGTCCATGCTAGTGATGGGAATGGATGACCAAGTGCAGCTGCAGTGTTGGGTCGAACAAGTGGAAGACCTTGACGCACCGCCACAACCTCCAACATGCATGGCTTGTGGCCATGTGGTTAAATATCAAGAAAACACACACATAGGCTATGTATAATGAAGAGATTGGTCTCTGGCATTCCTAGATTTATTGTTATTAATTCGTCGTTAGTATCGTACTCTGTGAGTTATGTCATAGTAATTCGGCTGTACTTCACTGTACATGTGATGGGGATCGATTGCCCTTCAGAGCTGATCCCCAGCCAACTTCAAAGCAATCGCCAGATTTATTATTTTACCACTGTACTTTGATTGGATACACAAGTGGCTCGGATTGCAGCAGAGAAACTATGAATCACGAACAATGTAATTTACAGTATGCTATGAAACAAGTCAACTAGTTTATCCATGGTAAATTCTAACTGCTCTTCGTCCTCTTCCTCAGCAATACCATCATCATCACTGTCCTTGTCACCGAGGGGCTGCTTATCTGCTGTCTCCATCGTAGGAAGTAAGTCAGGTTCGACACTGCTGGATTGTTGAGTGGCGTCGGAGGCACCTGGAACAGAATGGATGGATACCCCAGGTCCACGTGGGGATAGGTAGCTAGGATGGGATTCTAGGCGGGCCAATTTCTTGCGTAGATGGGAGTTTGCTTTCATGCGCCACTTGAATGTCATCGAGATGTACGATGCAAGAATGGGGTTGCTGGCGGTTACAACCTCGATGGTCTCCTTGAGCTGCAATTCCTCGTCCCTCATGGAGGTCAGTATCCTATGAGCTTCGATTCCAATAGTGACAAGCTCTTCCTTTGCACGTTGGAGCTTGACCCAGGCTCGGGTTGCTGCACGGAAGTGCTCCTGTGCCCATTCATGCGAGTGAATATCATCATGGCCTCGTAAGAGCTCGACCATACTCAGGAAATCAGGGTGGGTGACATCATCCCAAGTGAGGGACGGCTTTGGGGGGATCATTGAGGTCGCAGCATTGTTGTACTTGTCAAGGGTAGAATGGAGCGTTTTGCCCCGCTTTCCAACTAGTTCTGATATCCGTCGACGAGTTTTGTAGTCTATCATAGACAAGTCAATATTGTCATCGCGAATTGTGGTGAAATACTCACCAGTTTTGGGGAGACCCATCTTTTCAAGCTCAAACTGACGAGAGATGACACGGTGTTCCAAGTCATCAAGCAGGCGATGATACTTTCTCTGGTTACGCAATCGGATGGCCTCTTGGCGCTGAGATGAGTCAGCATGCCATGGTAATGTGAAGAACGATGTCGCTTCCAGTGCAGAGACAATGCAGCGTGCTTCGTCCACTTTGCGTCGGGCACGTTGAGCCTGGTAGGCCAGTTCTGAGGTCAGTGACACAGATAGTCTTGATAGAAGTGGCTGAAGCTCCATCCTGTTCAAATAATGAGTCAATGTACATATTATGTGGGCAGAACTTACTCAGCGCCCTCTAAATGCTCCAACGCTTCAAGATACTCGATTTTGGCTTGTTCATCCTTCGGCTCAGATTTCAGCGACATAATATACTCCTTCTCTTGTTGTAGGAACAGCGGGCAGTCGCGATCGACGTTGAATGATGGGTGTATACCTTTAGTCACCTTGAGGATATCCATGGACTCGCGGATCTGTGTCCACGCAGATGCATGATTCCCTAATAGGAAGTTGCCTAGATGCCAGAATTAGATCTGAGTATTTGAAGGCGGCAACACTCACCTAAGCGCTCATATTTATCCTGGTCCCATTTCTCGAAATGAAGGTGGATTCGGAAATGCCGGTAATATGCGGAAGCATGGCAAGTTACTGCAGCCAGACCGTTACTAGAAGAGAATGCTCGCTCGTTACCTTCACCATCTTCGATACCTGCCCCTTTTTTGAAGCCTATGAGATGAGTAAGTTGACACAACCTACTATGTGCAACACCATGGAAAGATCCAGTGCAGGATGTAAAATTGGCCCGACGGGCAGCATCACTGACTGCAGAGTGAGCAAGTGTGACCGAGAAGGTGCACCCGACGTCATAAGCAAAGAGGATATTTCTCCCAAATGTGCTGACTAGTTTGTTTGCAGCTGCAACTGGGTACTTGGCCCTTGTAGCTGGCATGAATAGGAGGGAAAGAAGTGAGGGTAAAAGTGACTTACAATTCCCCGCTCCTGACCATATCCATGACGAATTGAACGATGCCATGCTGGCAAATAACCAAGAAGACACCAGTTTCGTCCATAACACCCAGGGATCCAGCCTTCGTTGTTTGAGGCATTGGCCGAGAATTCTTCCATCCGGCACAAGACTCTGGGAGTGGATCGTTTGTTCCTGTCTGTATCATCACCAAGTGAGATCTGTGTTCACCATACCAAATGTCTGTCATACCGTTGAGTTTTGTTTCTTTGTGTTTTCAAACACATCTACCTCTGATCGAGGTAGATAGTAGTCACTGTAAAAAATTCGATTGTCAGATTCGTATCGATGTGGAAGGCGCGATAGAGAAGTATTTCCATCGCCAGTGACGATGAATTCAACTGAATGCTCTGGTTCATCATGAAGCTAGCATGACACATTAACGAGTGATCACAAAAAAAAAATGGGGCGTACCTGGTAATGACAGGCAGGGCATGAGTTCTTGAGGCGATAATCCGGTTTGTCATGTCCCATGACATGTTTTACGAAGGCGTTCACTCTCCTAATGATGGAATAGTATGCATCGAAAGCCAATGCCACCTGCGTTCGAAGGTATGGTTGATATATGACCTAGAGAAGTGTTCCGTCAGCCCAGGAAAGTGCAGTGCCCAACGTTTCTACTCACGCAATGCAAATCTGCCAACAACCGAGCAAAAGACTGGACACTGAAGTTCGACGAGGAACGCATAAGGCCATGAAGGAGCTCAAGAGAACGTATTGATATTGCAACAGTCGGATTAACAGGAGTGGGTGGAATGTAGCCTGAACGAAGCAGGGCGATGGTAGGCGAGGTTTCGTCCGGGTCCTGAGGTATATACTCATACGATCGACCATCTATGGAAAAAAGTAGTATCTCCTAAGGAATATTAAGTGGAATAAGTGTACCAAAAATGTCGATGACATAAATATGAGTGGAATTCAAGTTTTCTGGAGGTTCAGGGTGATGGAGTGGCACGCATCGAGGATTACTTGTCTTGTACATGAGGTAAGCGTCAGAAAGACTGGGAATTAATGCTGCCCAGTGTGCTTGCGATGCGTTTATTCGATTCTGCCACGAAACCCCTCTGGTTCGTCTCAAAGGTGATGCAAAGCATCAAGATGGGGTGACAGTCAACCCAACAAAATGTTGAAATAACCACCTCAGCCTAACAGGGCGTATGGTGTAATGGCTGTGCACACTGAGTTCGCGATCCAGAAGACTGGAGTTCGATTCCCAGTATGTCCAACTTTTAGGTTTCCCTAAAAAGACCACGTGCAAATTCCAACATGGTGGACATTCTGCGGAATACACCGAGCACACCCAAATCCGGTTGCTGCCACGTGAGCTGGGCACGTGAAGCCAAGCATTAAATTAGCCGGCCTGACAAAGTTTCAGGGGGTGTAGCTCAGAGCACTAAGGACCCAAATCCGGCTGCTTCAGACCACATGACATGGACATGTAGGAGATTAGCAGTAAGTCCGGCCTGAATATGAATTCAGGGGGTGACGGCTCACGGGTTGTTGGAACCCCGGTGGTTTGGGTCACATGTGGATCACATGGTCGATCCAATGTGAAGGGGGTGTGTTGAAATAACCACCTCAGCCTAACAGGGCGTATGGTGTAATGGCTGTGCACACTGAGTTCGCGATCCAGAAGACTGGAGTTCGATTCCCAGTATGTCCAACTTTTAGGTTTCCCTAAAAAGACCACGTGCAAATTCCAACACAAAAAAGACTCACTGCTTTGGCTGAAGCGACATTACTACATCAGCAAGCTCCTCGTAAGTCATGTCCGAGGATGTATGGTCAACCTCCTGGGACACGGGCTCGTTGATGCCTATGCTCCAGTCATCATCCCCACCGAGCACAACATCATTTCTAATGTCTTCTATCATAGAACCAATAGCTGGGGAGGCATCTAAGGTGGTGGTTGATTAAGTCCTTGGGCCCATTATCTGCAGGCAATCCTCACCTTTGAGCATGGCGGACTGTGCGGCTTCGAACTTTTGCCAGGCCATTTTACGCATTACAAGCCCAGATTTCGTTGTTTTCAAGCCATTGTTTACGAAGTTTGTGTTGACAAGCTTAGCTTTGCGCTTTGATCTCCCCATTGTGGGCTGCGTTGGGGCGGCAACGATAAGACAGTAGGACGATAAATTCGGATAACTCCGCTAACATGTTTGAAAGGACACGTGATAAAAAAGTGGTTTAGGTGCTGTCATTTATTTGTATGGTATTGTTATTCCACAATTCTGAGAGCATGCTCTGTCTGTAGCGTCCATATATATGAGGGATTTCGAGAGCATGCTCTGTCAGTAGTGTGTATATATACAAAGAATTTTGAGAGCATGCTCTGTCGGTAGTGTGTATATACAAAGAATTTTGAGAGCATGCTCTGTCGGTAGTGTGTATATATACAAAGAATTTTGAGAGCATGCTCTGTCAGTAGTGTCTATATATACAAGGGATTCTGAGAGCATGCTCCGCATGCTTGGAAACGTGATTGTATATACTGTGTCTATTTGCGGTCCCTATATATATGAGAAGCACAACGTGATTGTGTATCTATATATATATACATGGGATTCCGAGAGCATGGGGAGCATGCTCTTGGAACATGATTTTGTATCTAAGAAGGTATCATGACCCCCCCTCGCTACGACACCTAGTTATATTGATCCCGTGATGAGTAATAGGTGCCCTCAAGACGAAGGCTGGGCACGTTGCCGCTGCTTCCAAATGGGCCTCATCACGGAGCCAAAAGTCCGAGCACATTGGAGCGTCATGGCAACATTTACACAACCCCGAATTGCAGCAACGAAAGTCATTTTCAGCCACGATGCTTCGATTGAGTCTGTCGCAAGCGGATGGGACCAACACAGACGAAAGCTCCATGCCTGTCTCGTGATACATCGCGAGTGGCTATCCGAGTCGTCTTCCGAAGTTTATCCGCAACTTCGCTGGGCAAGCGAAGTTGCTTTGGGAATTTTGAATGTAACTTTCGCAGCATTCCTTGCCGACAAATGTACATGATTCAATCGAGAAGCCCCGTGATTATCCAGGATCGTGGGAACAGAGACTGTGGCAAGCGCTCTCAGGCTTCAGCTACATGAACTTACTAAAACCGTTGCGTTTTTCTCCCCGACCCTTGGCCCACTTTGTGCCGCCGTTTGCTGCATTTCGTCGGCGAGCCGCGGAATGGACTTGCCGGCCCTCTCCCGACCCTACTCCGGCTCGAGCTTTCCATTTTAGAAGTGTCTATGAGAGGTCGACATATACGCGTTTTGGCAGCAGTGGTCCGTCACAGAGGGGGCTTCTTGATCCCTTCGATCCCACAATGGTGAGAGTAGGTGCCGTCGTCATTGGTGGAGCAGGTTAGACTCGTTCTTGGTGTCATTCTGGTTTGGGGCCTCACCTATGAGGTTGGAATTCAAGTGGTATACTTCGTGTATCACCTAGAAAGAGTGCCGGAAACCGGAAGATTACGATTTATAGACGTCTCTGTAGACTCAGAAAGACAAGTGTGGTTTCTTTCTCCATATCTTCTCATTAGGTCTTCTTCCAACATTGTGTGTAGGCGGGGGAGGAGACTTTCCAACAGATAATACACCAATACAAAGGCCACATCCTTCCCTCGCACCACCCTCTGACAAAATATGTTGTGAATGTGGCTGAACGCATTTTGGAGGCGACGAGTCTCGGCCATGTTAAAGGACATAATACCTTATCTTCCTCTACGGACCTAGTAGATGATGTGTGGAGGCCTGACGGCGATCGGTTGTCATCTCCCGTTTCGAATGACGAATGGGAAGTGTATGTAATTGATGATGATACTCGGAATGCGTTCGTCTTACCTGGTATGTGGGGAGCTCCTATTGTGGTTCAGCCTCTATTGTTGATAAGGCTCACTTCTCAGGGGGAAAGATTTTTGTTTTTACTGGAATCCTTCCGTCATGCAAGAATGAAGATGGTCTGGCGTCAGTCTTAGGTCATGGTGAGAGAACAAATTTTTTGCACAAGTAGAACCGGAATATCTGATCATGGTTTGTCCGAAGAAATCGCACATCAAGGTAACGAGGCGTTGCTGCTTACTCTAGTACCCACTTCACCCCGACTCCAGTTGCTCGACATTCAGGAGAACGAATGTCTTCTACGAAAGTCATTTTCTTCCTAGTAACACTACTTGAGTTGTTGGGCTTGGACGTCGGGGTTTCTCGAATTGGGTTAACACTCCTACTAACGTACGTCAAGGTTGGTGAATTTCCTTGAAGCTTTCTGAGACCCCGTAGTCTTCCGAATTCAAGGACCCAGGAAGCCGAAGGTACATTTGTTTGTTATTCACGATCTTACAGACACAGCTGGACTCAGGCTGGAGTCTTTCTTTCAAATAGCTGACTCAATCGGCTTGAAACTCATGTCGAAAGCATGCTTCGATCCGGCTGAGGCAACAAGGCAAGATTTCCACCCATACTCTTGATCATCCCCCAAGATTTTCTGACACACATTGTTGCACAGATTGTGGGGACGAATGGAGGCGGAAGAGAAAAAGGAGTCAAAGGGGTGGTTCTGGTCATTGATCTCGAGGGGCTCAGTAGGCGATGTAGACATTTTGAGCACGCATCCAGCGTCTGGGAAGCGAGTAAAGGTATGTTTTTTTAAGCGAATGCTATAATCGCAAGGGGGATTTTGACTTGATATGCAAATAGACAATGGAAACACAAATACCCGAGGCACTGGCTATTCGAGCTGCCTCCTCAGCCTGTGCCCACACACTGGGCCCCGAATTCAATGAGTTCCGGATGACTGCTTTTGGTGCATAGATGAACATCTCGAAGGATTCATAGTGAATGGGATAGAATTCAGCTCCTTCATCCCCTGACTTGCTTGTGTCCATTTGCGGCTAATCGAGTATCTATCAGGAGGAAGCGACGTTAAAGTTGAACAGTGACTTGAGGAAGAATAGGGGGAAAGTCCCAAGAATGAAATCAGCCGGGCCTTTGTTTGAATCTGGCCATATGTTCCAGCTCCTACTATCATGGAGAGAACGTCCCAATATACCACAGAAAAGGTATACATCATGCATTTAGGGATATAGAAACTCTAACTCACTGTTGCAACGCTAGCAGGGGGCTTTGGACCATAAACGGCCGCCAAAATGCCAGCAAAGGGGACATACAGGCCTGCTATTACGGGAGTTACCCATGATTCATGACTTGGCTGGCTTAAACGAGGGGCTTCGAACGCCTTCGAGTTTGCTAACTGTCATTTCTCCGAGTTCCTGGCCGAGATTCATTCGGTCCACTGAAGTACCTGTTATGTATTACTCGGGAAGATCCGGAAATACCGCACACTTGGACACGTGTAGTACCGACATGTCTGCTGTTGGAAGTATGAAAGTAGAGCGAGCGAGGTTGTGAGCGATACATGATGGGCTTATGGACGGATTTACCTAGAATAGAGGGTTGGAAATGGACTCACGCCAAAGGGCGGAATAGAGGCATGCCACGGTCCAGCTCGAGAAGGACCTCATGGACAGGGATGAGTGGGAAGGCCGACTTTGCGCGGCAAGAAGGGTAGCCCCTCTGAAAACACTGGGGCGGAAACACAGGAAAAGGGGTGTGGCCATGGAGTCCTAGCACGTTGGTGAAAGAACCACTTCGAGATGAGATGGTGTAGCGACTTAGAGGCTCACGCCTTGGGAATGACAAGGACACATTGGAAGCGGAAGCAAGAGGCTTGGTGCAAACTCGCGCTTTTTAAGGTCACCTGGACTCAATTCAATTGATTATTTCCTCTGGATCCATCGTTCATCTCTCGAGGTTCATGCGTGCTGATAAACTAGTCAAACGCGACAAGCGGCACCAAAGGGACTCAGTGGCGAAAAGTAAAACTGGTATTGGGTTTGGGAAAACAGAACCTGTGTCTCGGACAGCTCCCCAAGCCGAGGGTAGGCAGCAGAAGTCCGTCGGTGGAAAGGGAGCAAATAACAAGCCTACTGAAGATGCGAGTAGCGGAGATGAAGAAGTGAGGAGACCCAGGAGGAAGGCTTCACAGGTTAGATTTTTTTTTTCAGCCTTGCATTTGACACCGAGTTTGCTTTGTGGTCCTGTTCAGGATATATCCCAGGAGGAAATTAGCCAATTTTTGGCAAGTCTGGATTTCGGGTTGCTTCGTGAGGATGCCTCCCCTGGAGGCAACGAAGACTTCAATCCTAAGCGAGAATGGCGAAAAGCAAGGAAAGATGAGTCTCACACGTCGAGGACGAGAAAATCGGGAGCCAACGTCGAGACATCTGCCAAGTCGACTACAGAAATCTTCCAAAAACTTGGGAGAGTGAAAATGGTCAGTTACTGCGAGCGTTAGGAGTCTTTCCGCTTGTGAAACTTGGCGCAATTGTGCAGGACATCCCAACAGAGGCGCTCTGGTACAGCAACCCATATACCCTGCCAGCGCCTCCCACCCTTGTTGACCCCTCTTCTGTGTCATCACTTCGCTCACGGGCTGAGAAACTACATGCTTCCCTGAAGGCCCCAGAAATGAGTGCTACCGACCAGCGATTTGTCTCGGATGTCCTGAAATCGGGGACCTCGTCAGACAGACTATCAGCTCTAGTCCTATTGGCGCAATCTAGCCCGATGCATAACACAAGGGCTCTGGAGGGTTTGAAAGCGATGGCGGGAAAAAAGGGGAGAGATGAGAGTTTGAAGGCGTTGAAGGCTATTGTGGATTGGTGGATAGGTGGTGGCGCGCCGGATCGAAAATTAAAGTATGCACGTATAGTAATATCCCTTCCTCTTGCACGTTTGACCTGGCTTCGCTCGTAGGTACTTTGTTGATCAACCACTTACACACCCAGAGGTGACCGATGCGCATCTCACGTATTGGTACTTCGAGGACTGGTTGAAGAAATATTTCTTCTCAATCTTACAAATACTTGAGGTTCGTCAAGTCAAGGAATCGAACAAAGTCTATTGATTCCCTTCCTCCAGGCTCTTTCAATGGACCCGCTCCCTTATGTCCGGACTGAAGCCATGATGCTCATCTATCAGTTGCTTTACACCAAGCCTGAACAAGAGCAAAACCTTCTAAGGGTCCTTGTGAACAAACTGGTTCGTCTTCATCCGCCGTGAGAAGGTGCTTCACCTCAATCTAGACAGTATAGGGTGACACGGAGAAGCGGGTGGCGTCCAGGGCTTCGCGCCATGTGGTGACGCTGTTACAGCATCACCCTGGGATGAAGCTTGTCATCATTCGCGAAGCCACCGAACTTATCTTTCGCCCCGTCGCACCCTCAGTTGCTACGTCGGGGCCCAAAACTGGCACCGGCAAGCATGTCAAGTTCGGTGACTCAAACAAAATGTCTACATCCTCATCCACTCCCAAGAACCACCACTCCCGCTACTTTAGCATCATCACCCTCAATCAGATTGAGCTATCACACAAAGATCCTCCTGGAGTGACGGCAAGTCTGATAGACTTATATTTCAAGCTCTTCAAACAGATCCTCGATGAGAGTGGAAGGAACCCTCAAACGGTGCCAACAGAGGATACAACAGATAAAAATGATAGGAAAGGGAGAGGAAGACGTCCCCAGAAGCATGTCAAGGGGGGGAAATCCAAGCATTCCCAACCGGCTGGTAGCTTCGTGGAGGCAGACGATGCCCATTCCGGGATTATCTCCGAGATTCTAACTGGCCTTAATCGGGCCTTCCCTTACGCAAGCATGAGTCAAGTCACACTGTATGTAGTTCAAAGAATCTTTACCTTCAGCTTTATCTGATATCCAATTCGCAGCATCGACGACCACATTGACACCTTGTTTCGAATCACATCCTCTGGGAGCTTCAACGTCAGTATTCGGGCATTGACTTTGATTCATTTGATCTTGCGTTTCAAACCGGTCAGTATTCAACGCTTCCTGTCATGTTTTTTTTTTTTGAACATTTTCATGATTTCCTAGGCGATTGAAGATCGTTTTTACGGCTGTCTGTACGAATCAGTCATCGACTCGCGCCTCATTACCACATCGAAACAGGCAATGTGGCTCAACCTAGCATTCAAGGCCATAAAAGCTGATAGGAACACGATACGAGTTGTTGCATTGGTGAAACGCTTCTTGCAAGCGCTGACAATGCATCAGCCCGCTTTCATTTGCGGTGCCTTATATCTACTCTCTCAGGTTCATTCATCCAGTTGGTCTCCCGTATTCATCAAGCTAAATTTATTTTGCTAGCTGATCGAGCTTAGTATTGATTTGCGTATGATGATGCAACAATCTAGCTTAGAGAGATTATCAGGACCAACTGGCAAACGGAAACGTCGGGAAACCCAGCAACCCGAAACCAACACTGCCGTGCAGGCCTACGATCCAAAAAAAGGAAATCCTGCGTCGGCTCACGCAGAGACAACCTGTTTATGGGAATTAGTGTGTCTTTTCATGCCACTTTGTGTCGCTAGCTTACACTGAAACTTTTATCCTGACGGCTACTTCAGATTCCGCTTGTGTATCACTATCATCCATCAGTGTCCTTGCACGCAAAACAGATATTAGCATCCATCCCCGTCACCACTTCCCCCGACCTGGCTCTGAACACGCTCTCGCACTTCCTCGACCGATTCGTGTATAAGAAACCCAAGCCACCTAAGCCTATGGAAGTCAGAGTCATGCAGCCTGAGGCATACGCGTCATTAGACATCGACGTGGGTGGGGTCATAAAGACAAGGGAAGGGATAGGTGGTGGCATATTCATGCACGGAGCGTCTGGTGGCGGGCCGGTAAACGAGGAAACTTTCCGGAACAAAACGGTGGAGGAAATCCCAGTCAATGAGGTGGGAGATTACATTATCATCACAAACTTTCAGCTGACGCTGTTCCCTTCAATCTTCAGTTATTCTTTCATAGGTTCTTCATGACTAAAGTACACAAGGAGCAGCAGATAGCCAAAAAGGCCGAAAAGATAGCAAAAGTAATCGAGAAGAGGAAACAACGAAGAACGGGCGAAGAGGGCGAGTTCTATGGAGACGAAAGCGGTGAGCATTCAGATGAAGATGGAGCGTCAGATGACGAAGTAAATGAGGATGAGGTTTGGGAGGTGGGTTATTCCCTTTCACGTCCATACCTCATTGGCTCAGTCTACCGTCATAGGCATTGAAGAAAACTATGCCAGGCGGACAGGATATTGATCCCCTGGAAGAGGATTCCGACGATACGCCCAACGGGACTGTTGATTCTGAAGACCCAGATGAAGAACTGTCGGAAGCCCAGAATAGCAATGGTGACATCGACACGGACGATGCGGATTCGGACGCCGCTGGCAGCCTTGATGGCGCCGGGGCTGAAGACGGATCCGAAGGCAGTCTCATTGAATCGGACGTGGATCTTGTCGATCTTTCAGATGTTGAGTTGCCGGACCGAGGCAATGAAGACGACCCGAAGGCTTCTCCGTCAGCTTTCGAACCGGAAGACTCAGAAGCCGTTTCAGGACTCCGTAAGCCCCATGCAAGTGATAAAAGTAAAGGAGGCAGGAAGAAACGTAAATTGGCACTGCCTACATTTGCGTCGTACGAAGATTATGCTAAGCTTATCGAGGAGGGACCAGAGGATGACATCTAGAGGGATAAATGCCGAGTACCACATTTTCATACGAAATTAATCATGCACACAGGATCGGTTGCTGTCTCACCTTCGACTGCGCGTAATCGGTATTTATGTCCTTCAGTCCCACCGACAAGTAAATTCCTTTGTATCGCAAGCATACAGCAAGGGGAAATGTTATCCCAAGGTAACCATGTGATAATTTGAGCGCCGCTGGACCACCCCACGATGGACGATGGGTAGAACGTGCAAACGCGCGGCCACTCTTATATGTCACATTATTGTTTTATCTGTTGGACTGGGGCCCCACAGCAGAACCGCGAGCGAAACGCCCATCCAGAACCTGTCACACTAACATAAACCCAGAATTTTAAATAACAAAGTATAAATAGGCAACGCTCTCCGTGCTAACCCGCTCATGACACTGAGAGGCACCAGTGGCGAGGAAAGTCAAAGCAAATTAATCTCGGGTTGCCGGTGTGATCCCCAGATTTTCAGGAATGTCCGTCATCAAATCGAGTGATGAGGCGCGATCCCCCACATAGCCATGAAACAAAAGTCCCATCAGGGTTATGCACGCTTGAGAGTGCTGCTGTAGAAAGCGAAGCTCCTCGCTCGACTTTTCCCTTGCGATCTTCGCGTTGCCGGCGAAAGCAGCTATGCTCGGAGCCACAATTCATGGGGGAAAGCATGACCAGGATGTCTGATGCAGTAGTCTTAGCAGTGGGACAAGTTTCGGCTTTTCTTTCAGCGTCGTTCGGAGGCTGATTGGCAGCTCGCCAGGCGAGCGGTGATGGTTGCAACACCATGGAATGAGAACTGAAAAGGAGCCAGTCAGCGGCGAAATAAAGATGAAGCCGCGCAAGCAGTTCTTAGGCAGGATATGTCACTGGCGACCTCGAAAATCTGTCACTAGTGCGACAGGCACTGAATTCAACGCTCAAATACGAATTGCAAATGAATTGAAGGCAAATCTGTGATTCCATTCAACTTTTGAGTACCGCCACTAATTGCTTGACAATATTGACATTCATCGCGCCTAGTCGAATGGCGTCAAATCATCCGGCATAAAAGATGGGATATTTCTGCTCAAGTAAGCCCCCGAGGCGCAAGACGTGTTGTATACGGCTTCAGCTGGATCTCACTAGTAACGGCAAAATTTACCTGCTTGAAGCCACATGAAGTCTTTTTCGACAGAACTGTGGTCTGGCAGAGAGAAGCTTATACTCGCGTTTGATATTGGCGCCACATACTCTGGGGTTGCGTACTCACATCTGTTCCCGTTGTATGTTAATCGCCGTAATCGCCTAACGAGCTGAGTCTCATCAAGCTTGGTAGTTCCCCTCAAGCTGTGTCATGCGTAAGCGGTTGGCCTGGCCAGCCGGTCCATCAGAGCGAAAATAAGGTTCCATCCCTGGCTTGGTACGATAGGCATGGCAATGTAGGGCCGTTCTACCATGATAGCTGCTTCGTCATTCACTTTCCTCGACCAGGCGAGATTATTTGGTGCAGAGGCTGCTACCCCTGATGCTGAAATCCGGGCGGCGAGAGGTGGTTGGAGCCTTGCAAAACACTTCAAGTTGCACCTACACCCTGGGGCGAAGAGTAACAGGCTGGACATTGCTTTAGACCGTACGTTGATACCTTTCCTACTTGTGACCTTAAACGAATTTATTCACCATGTCCCCACAGCTCTCCCATATGGTGTCACGTTGCTCAAGATATATACTGATTTTTTCGCTTATTTATTCGATCATGCGAGACACGCATTCTGCGATCGAGTACCCGATGGGGAATTTGTCTGGAGCAGATGTAGTGAGAAGGCCGAAATAGTCATCACGCATCCAAACGGATGGGGCCCCACTGAACAGACATTCCTGCGAGATGCAGCCATCGCAGCGAAGCTTGTCAGGGAGGCTGATGCGGTGAAACGAACTTTTTTCGTATCTGAAGCTGAGGCAGGCGTGCATTACTGCATCTTTACCAATAACCTCGCACCTTGGCTCACTGTAAGCTGTTTCGAGTAGACAGATAAGCCACTGAATTGACGATCTCCGCGCCACAGAAAAATGCTCGGTTTGTTGTTTGTGATGCAGGTGAAATCATTTCGGACTCTCCTGTCTTGTGCTTACAATAGCGTCAGGTGGATCGACCGTGGACATTACCGTGTATTGTGTCACCGATACACACCCATACCTCAGACTCGAAGAAGTTAAGCCTTCGGCTTGTGTACAAGCAGGCGGTATCTTCGTCGATAAAGTTGCTGCGCAGTACTTCTTGCATCGCTTCGCAGCGAAACGAGCGAAACTTGATGAAAACGCCCAAATAGAATTCGTCAAAGAAGCCGTCGAAGATTTTGAGGGGAACGCCAAGAGAGCTTTCAAGAACTCCGAAAATGGTGCGTATGTTCGGGTTGGCAGCACCCAAGTGACGATCGGGGCTGCAGGGGTAAGACGAGGTCGCATGGCTCTGGATGGGTGAGCAACGCCAATGTATAATAATCCCCCAAGCATCTCAGACTAGAACCCCCCAAAGGCGCACGATTGAATCTTTCTTCACACCCTCTGTCAACAAGATCATCGCATCGCTTCGACTTCAGCTGAAAGGGACGGAATGTGGACACATCCTCCTTGTAGGCGGCTTCGGTGATAGTCAACACCTGGCGGAAAAACTCCAGGCCGAGTTCGACAGGAAGAGATGCCAGGTCGTACCAGCCAATGATTCAAAGTATGATTTCGCAATTCCCCTCACCTTTCGTGGTGTTGAAATCAGGTGCTTATTTCAAGGTCCAAAGCCGTATCGTATGGTGCCGTCATTTGGCGTGCAAAGTTGGCTGTTATCCGCCCGTGTAAATATGAATTTGGAGTGGTTATGGGTCGGACGTTCAACCCCAATGATCGGGCTCACAAAACACGCCAAATACGCCATTGCGCTGATGGAAAAGATTCCGTCGCAGGAGCCTGGGTTGCCCTAGTACGTCGGGTAAGTGAAACACTTTCCCCGGGTGTACAGCTGTACTTATTTACGACTTCCACCAGGGTCAAATCGTAAAGCAAGGAGAACGATGGCATAGGCATTTTCGTCTTTACTCTGACGTCCCTACCAGTAAAGTTGGTCGCCTTTCTGTGAACATATTAGCTTTCACTGCCACCGACCGACCCACTCCACGTTGGGCGGAGAGCGAGGATCGTAAGTGGCTGATCATCTTTTCGGTGCGATTCAGTGCAAATCACTCATTTCGGCGGTGCCGCAACCCTTTGTTTACAGGCAGGCTGTTCAATGGCTTCGAATACGTGTGTACAATATCCATGAATGTGCCGGATAACCTTCAGGATTGGAAACAACGACAAGGGAAAACCGGAGGTTACTGGACTTTTGATTACACCGTTAGCGTCATGTACTCTGACAATAAGGGTCTGAGGGCCTCCCTTGAATGGGATTGTGGAGGAAGGAGGGTGAGTAGGTCCCCTCGTCTCTTGGCAGAAATGGTTGACAGAACGGAATGCAAAGGAGAGATCTCCCCTGTTATTATACCAAACTCCCTTGCATAAATTTCTTGCCACATGCACACTTAATCATAAATGGATTAAATTAAGCAGTGGGCACGATAGGCTCTAAGCAAAGTTACACCATACATTCCCATAGCTATCCTGTGGTATACCAGTCCAGCCCTGTCCTTGGTCGTGATCTAAACTATCAACATAGCCAATACCGTAACTATCCGCCGCGTTCACCTTGTTCGACGGGCATCTCCATTGCAAGAAACTAGGGCAAGCTCGCGCGACTTCGTGACACATTTCGATACACGGAAGAAGTTCAGTGAAGTTTTGCTCCAGTGGTGGTGTTAAGGCACGAGGTGAATTACCGGTGATAAGTGCGGGGGAAGCGGTGGGGGGACCCCCCCGTTTCCTGATGGCTGTGTCGGCTGAGAAGGCTCACCACATCGAGGGAACGAGACGGCGCAGAGCCATGATCTGTATGCACGCTGACACGATGCACAGGTTTGAATTGGGGAGTAAATGTCTCGTCCGCATGCGAAAGTGAGAAGAGATGTGGTGAAATTACTGAGCGATGATAAGAGAGGTGACGTTATGTTAGAGGGTACAGTGTCAACAGCATATGATGTTGCGCCGGTTGGGGGCTGTGGAAGGGGGACGGCATACGTGACAGAGGGGCAGAAAGGCACGGAGTGGACCAGCGGACAACTAAAGTTTGCTATGGACGAAAGATGATCAGCTATGGATACGCCAAGGAAAAGAAAAATAGCCAACATGACTTCGTAACAAAGAAAAGAGGTCCGCTGAGTACTGAATTATTGGTGACAACATATGCAGTGTAGTTCGTGGACGGTGTCAATTTTTCAAACAGCCACTGGGTCCGATAATCAGTGTAATCTCGAAGAACAGTTGTCGTGTTGAGTGGATGGTCTCCAGACGAAAGTAGATTCCCAGGTACTTCAGTTATCCCACAGGCAGATTGACTGACTTGCGCTAGTGCCGGGGAGATATTAGCAGTTTGGAACACCAGCAATGTTTGAGGAGGGGGCTGTGTTGAATTGGATGAAGTGATGTTTGCAGGTGGAAGGACATATTCAGGATAAGTAGGCTCGTCAAATGGGATGGATTGAAATGGAGGGGAAAAAATAAGTGCTTGATTAGCAGTTGTATCTCCAAGGTGTGGAGGCCGAGTGTCGACGTCGAATATTTGCTCTTCGGTGAGGAATGTATCAGTCGGGGGGAGATAGTTTTGGAACCGTGCTCACCCTCCGCAGAAATTCCAATTTGGAATGACCGAGTCTGATTCCCCGAACCACCCCTTCCCGCACGAGCAAGCAATGTAGCCGGTCCTGTTCCAGTCCACTGAGCGAGTCCACCTTTCAGTACCAGTTCCGCTCCAGAAGTCTCTGTCCCAGGTGGGGGCATATTTGTGCCATTATTCAGGAAAAATCGTGGGGGTGGTTGTGTAGATGTGCAGAGCACAACGCTTAAGTGAAGAGTGGACGAGGATGATGGTATAGCAAACACTGCTGGTGACTCGATGGAGGATACAGAAGCAGAAGTCTTAGATGGGATTGAAAGGGTAGTCTGCGAAAGGCACGATAAAGGCGTAAGGGTCAGCCACAGGGCAAAAAGTGACAAAGACATCTCGGAGAGAGTAACTTCGAGGCGCTTAAAGATTGAACGCTTCGCAACACTGCCCTGTACAACCCAAGTACAGCCTGTCACTCGCCGCAAAATCACTTGTTGGGAGGGGCTGGAGGATGACGAATCTCTGATTGCGTGTCAGGTGTCCATTCTCCACAAATCTTCGTTGATCTGAGCGCCAAGCGTCGGTGCAGAAGACGTTACGTAATCAAAATACTTATGTAAGCGCCACAAGCCCAAGATCGGGCGCTTCACCGCTCACAGTTGTGGGAAGATTCCACTTGGGCCTCTTATAGCGGTCGCTCATGTGTCTTTGGGATCGGGCGGAAAAGAGTTGGCATTGTGCTTGTGCTGTCGTAGATATGCCCCGGCACCGTCAAGGATGGTGGTAGATTTCGTCCGCTCCTGACTGGACTTATGGCGGAAGTTTGTTGAGCGATGGCAACTCATCTCCGACAACCTGCTACCACCCTTGCAACTAATGTCGCCATGTATTTATTATTTTGTTTCGGGTAATAAGGTACCCATGCTATGCGTCTAATCAAGCAATTGCCGTTAGTCAACCACACACAGACTCCTTTCAACCCCAACATGCTTGCGGCACCTGTACCATGTCAGCTATCTTCGTGCCCACAATCGCCCACCTCACAACTGCGGGGGCAGCGGTGCTTGTTTCTAACCGTAGGCGTGCACACCCCCGACGCTCTGGCACCAGATCGGTCAGCTATTCTGCAGATTTCATGTGTGCGCTGTGACGAGATCAGTGACGGGATATGGGCTGATACTTGTTGTGTCTACTAGAATTGCGGGGTGAGCTGACGACATTTTTAAGGCGCCATTCAACTTGTATGTCTGTTGTTGGGACGCTCCGCCTCCAGGGATCCCGACTCACGTTCCGGGGTATGTTCCTTCCCCCGGGTGGGGAACTGTTCAATAGCCATTACAGAGGCCGAGTGCTGGAGTTGGATTTGCTTCTGACTGACTCATCCTCTGATTGGCATAGTATCTTTCATTCTGTTGATGATCGAGGTAGTCAACCATGCACTGTGGTAGTGCCTTCATCCCTTGGCTCGCATCTCTAGCCCAGGACTATTGTAAGATATGGTTGATTGGTTAGAATGCCCAAATTCCAAACACCCACGGACGTCTGGTTCCTGAGATGGCGATGTGCCGCCTGAGGCCACATAGATATCCTGAAAGAATGTTCTATATCGTCCCACCGAATGGGATCGATTGAGCCAAAAACTGTAGAATAGTTTTGCAGTACAAAATGAACATGGTGTCAGTACATTGCACGAACTATCACTGTGTCCAAGAATGTGTGGCAAACGAAGATGGAAATAAATGGACACCAATAACATGAAGCAGAATGACTGATCCAGACGTGAACATTCTCTTGCCCTACGAAGTTGCCTTCCGCCTAAAGTTGAACCTTGAACCTTTTTCCTTCTCCCCGTGGAGAGGGGCAGATTTCCCTGCAGCCTTCAATTCTTGCTGGCGTTTCTGCTCCTCGTCCGCGGCGTTGCGGAAGGAACCAGCCTTCTTGATCGCTTCCATGCCATTTATAAAGCCCCTGTGGAGTGTTATTGGATTGCGAGTGTGTATTGATGTATCACCGTTCGTGTTTTATAAAAAGGGTATATGGGAGGAAATTGGACATTAAAATCAGATGCGTCCACGTTGAGGGCAAAGTGATCTCACCGTTGAGTGGCGTCCATATAGGATTCACGATCCATACGCTTGTCGGTTTTGATATCTGCATAGGGTCAGTGGAGTGTCACAATCAGATGTCCAGTATACTTACGGATGCCGTTGTCAGTGACATGATACCCCTTAGCTTTCAGACTGCATCAATGTCAGCACGATCATCCCAACGGGAGTTGGGAGCCGAGAACACACTTCGCTTTTGTAGACCTGTTCGTCATGAATGTTGAGATACGTAAGGAGCACGTTACCATGCAGCGTGTAAACGTACTCTACTGTTTCTCGAATAGTGCGGACCAAGAACACCGCCCCAGCTGGACGCGTAAAATGTTCAGCTGCGATAACTCGAATCATGCCCATTGCTTACCTACTAACCCAGTGACGAGGAGAATAGTCTGACCAAAAATCGCCCCCATTGCCTCAGTGCCAAGGCATAGATTTTCGCCAAACTTTTGTGCTTACAATGATAAGTTGTACATAATCAGTCCTACGACGAGCATCAGAAAGGCATAAGCGCTTGATCCTGAGTAGCCAAGCTCACCAGCTAGATTGGTGTTTTGCCATGAGGAAAATTTCGTTGCGGTGTGTCGAGCGGAGGATTAAGGCCCTCCATCAAATCGGGTTTCCAGGCACGTGTTCGGCCATCTCCATTGTTTATTTGAATTTCGAGACAGGCTTTTTCGGTGTGCCCAGTCTCGATGGGCAAGAACAGTAAGTAGACTGCCAACCCATGAGGATCACACGGAAAGCTAATACGAACCGACAGAAGCATCGAATGAGTCCATGGGTGCTCGATTGAATGGAGCGCCGTACAACAGTGAGCTCTGTAATGAACGGGGCCCAGTGCATTTTCTGAATTGCTCAACCTGCGTCTCTAAGAGCTAAAGAAAGACCCCGGGGTGCCTAGGCTTCCTGCCATAAAGGATAAGAAGGTATGCTGATGCATTTGTGAGCCTCGCGTTACCAACTCATTGTGGCACCATAGCACAGCCGTCTTGCTCACTTGTCATCCCCAACCAGAGTCACTCCATTAGCTGGGGCGACTATACAGTCGCTGGCACAAACTACGGTTGCAGTTGACGAAGTTGACGATACACATGAGGCCGCTCAATCACAGATAGCGCGTGATGCTACTGTGGCTGCGCATGCTCATCAATTCAGGAAAGTCTTGGAGTTATCAGATGTCATCATACAGGTGCGTTCAGATTTTTCTAGGAACGTATGTCATAATGACTTTTGTAGGTCTTGGATGCCAGGGATCCGATGGGATGCCGGAGTCGGATAGTGGAGGACGAGGTCCGTAAAGCGCAAGGGGACAAGATGCTGGTTCTTGCTCTCAACAAGACAGGCGTGTGATTTTCGTACACTCGCCTTCGCACACCCCTCCAGCCTTACTTACTTCCTTCCGTTTCCTAGATCTTGTGCCTAAAGAAAATGTTCTTGCCTGGCTGCGCTACCTTCGTCACGACTACCCCACTGTCCCACTCAAATCCACCCCTTCTGCAACCCGCCAGTCTCGTGCTCTCTCGGCTGCGAAGGGTCAGAACAAAGGCGGTGCCCCTCATCTTCTCACTCTTCTCAAGTCCTACCGCCGAGCACACACATCCTTAACCGTTGGTGTTGTTGGCGCCCCGAATGTGGGCAAATCTTCGTTAATCAACATGCTCTCCAGATTGAGAACAGGGAGCAAGTCAGGGGATGTAGTCACAGTGGGTGCAAAGCCTGGCCAGACTAAAGACATCAAGGCAGTTGGGCTAGAGAAAGGTCTGAAGGTGCTCGATATGCCTGGGATTGTATGGGGGGACTTCCTTGGGGACGTGGATGAGAATGGACAACGAGCCGGGAGCCTGAATATGCTCGGTGTGGAGTTTCTGGAGGATCCCATCATGGCGGGTTCGTTTAATTTGTTGTTATGGTGTCATCTCACATCTCAATTATCCTTGACTTCAAATCCAGTCGAGTCGATAGTCCAAAGAGTGCCAGGCGAGACCCTTCAGCAGATCTATGACGTGCCTCAATTCTCCGATGCCACCCAGTTTCTAACGATGATTGCCCTTTTGCGTGGCAGGCTCGGAAAGGTGATGAAGTAATAATCCTGCGACGTAGAATGATGATTCCTTATATCTCTGGTGAAATAGGGTGGTGTACCCGATCAAGAAACTGCTGCCCGTTCAGTCCTCAACGATTGGAACTCGGGCGCCATTCCGTATCACACCGAACCACCCAAATTCCATCCATCCTCCGTACCTTCCATTCCAAGCGGTGAGGGGTCGTTGCCCCTTGCTCCATCGTCTACCAATGAAGACACCGCAATGATCGATCAGGGTGCCAAGGAGCCCGAGGAAGCTTCCGATAGTGTGATGACCACTGCTGCGGACATTGGCTCCGCTCAATTTGTATCCAAATTCAGTAAACCTTTCGATCTGGAGGGACTATTCTCCCTCACGGATAAAGCAGTACTGGATGACCAGGATGGAGATGAGGATGAGGGAATGAAAATAGACGACGCCACTGGGTTCATCCCTGATGAAGAGGCGACAGACATCGCCACCACGACACATGTCGAACCCGCACCATTACGGGCAAAGAACTCGCTAAAAAGAGCGCACTCACCCACTCCTTCCGTGGCCTCGCTTAGTACAATTCCTATCTCGAATGCTGGATCCATATCGTCAAAGGATACTCGGGGCGTTAAACAGCCAAAGCCAAAACGAGCCCGCTACAATCCAAATGCTCCTATTGTATTTGATCTAGTGGGAACGGCAGCCATGGTTTCATCGACGAAGAAACGTCGTGTGGAATTGAAAATGCGACAGAAGGAGGCATTGGAAAAAAATAGCGCGGCTTTACCATCTCTCGACAATACCTTCATTCTCAAAACTGGAACATTTTTTGATCCTTTATCTATACCACTTCCTGGTGAAGATGAAGATGAAGATCTGTAATGCATACACGTATCTTCTCTATTTCAAAAGGAACACCCATGTGATACGCGGACAACTGATAATAATTAGTCGAATTCCGGTGAATTATTTCTACAAGCGTGAAGAATCCATTACTGGAGCATCTCACTAACACACTCCCAGACCCCCTTCAGGTTTTCCTTCCAGAGCGTAACTTTGCCATCGCCACAGCTGACAGCAAGGATGTTACCTGCCAAGCTCCACGACACGCGCCAGACCACATCAGGGAATTTGGGTGGCGTGCCGCTTGGCACACCTGCTGGGCTGGGATCGAGATAAGTCTTGTCCCAAGCCGCATTCGGGCTATCTTTCGTCCAGATAATCACAGTTTTGTCCTGTAAAAGAATACCAAACCAGCTAAGAACGGTGAAATTGGATCTCGGATTTCATACAAACCTGAGAAGCAGTGGCAATATAGGAACGAGGCAACCCAATGTTTGGAGCCCATGCCACGTCCCTTACCCAGTCAGTGTGCCCATCCAGCTGTTCCTCCTCAATCCATGCCTGTGTGTCTTCGCGAAATGTCCAGATTCTAACTAGGTTGTCGCATCCTGCGCTGGCAAAGCGTTTCACAGGTGATGGAGCAGATAACTGTTGCGAGGATTGCTGTTGGCCTTGAGCAGGTGCAGAAGGTGTAATGAGGGAACCAGGAAGAATGGCAGGGGCCCAAGAGACTGCGTTGCATCCAATTGCGTGTCCATTGAAAATGTCAGCTCCCCATGTTCCATCGTCTACGATGGACAGTTCAACGACCCTTACAAGTCAGAGAATGGAGACAAATTGGCTTACTTTTGAAAGCGAGGACGGATAACTTTCCGTCGGATGATGCGCATGCAACAATAGCGCCGAGCTCGTGGGGAGCCCATGAAACAGAATTCACTAGAGTCAGGTGTCAGAAGGAGGGAATTGGGCGTCAATCTCATTCACGTAGATTATACAGACCTGACGCAGTGTGTAGCGAGTGCTCTTTCACACGAGTCCATGTGGCCTGGTTAGAGCCTTGAGTCGCAACTTGTTCCTTCCAAATCAAGACGCGGCCATCGTATGAACATGAAGCGAGGATGTGACCAAATTTTGGATGTGCCCACGCGACTTGCCAGACGGGCCCATTATGCCTATTTTTGTGTGGAAAATATGCACAAGGGTCAGCAAAACTGTTCAAGTCTAACGCCTCAAAAGCATATACCCTTTAAGCACTTGGCCTCCAGTTTGCCTTTGAGGTTCACCTTCAATGACATCAAAAATTTTGATTGTTCTGTCTGACGAGCAAGTAGCTAGTCGTTTCCCATAATAATCCAGCTGGGCATCATGCTGGAGGTAATGATAAATGCGCATGTGCCCAGAGGTAGGGTTTGAAAGGTGAACTTACGATCATATCATCATGCCCAGTTTCTATCGGCGTCGATTCTGGTGGTCGTACAGCCTTTCATCAGACATTTCAAGCAAACGTGAGCCACTAAGCATGCCAATATCGGGCTAGTCGCCATACCATTAGAGGGTTTTGTCGACGACAGCTCCCAATATTGATAAAGGGAGCGGACACGTGACAGCGCTTCCGGAATCGGCTCCGTCCCGCTAGCTAGCCCATCCCGTAGGAATTTGCGTGTTGAGAGATCAGGCAGGACTCCAGTAGACAGGACCCCAGCCTCTATGGCTTCGTGGTATTGCATACCTCTGTCCTCATTCAGACTCTGGTGATCTGCTCGGGTGGAGTCAGCTTCAGTCTGATGTCCTATTCTTACTATAGAGGCTGGTCGCCTGCCTATATAATCCAAGTATTCATTGAGCCACAAGGCTCAATGAAGGCGGATGGTCCGGCTTGTCGCGTGGCCTCCGCTCGGCGCTGGGGTAGTCACATCCACCGAAAAAAGAAAACCTCAAAGGCGCTTGCCACCCGAGAATGCAGGGAGCAATAAGTGAAGTCTCCTGAAAATTCTTGAGGCTCTTTGGGTCGGGATGATTCCTCGGCACCAAAGAACTCCCGGACCAACCTTGGGAATGCGTGCGATCATTCAATTTAGAAGCTTCTTAGTGCGGTAGTATCGCGACGTCCCTGGGTCTCCATAGCACGAGTACAACGTTCTAAACCGGCGTATTGACACTGTTGGATGGAACAGTCTGAATCCCCATTTCCCAAATGGAAGTGGCGACAACAAGAATGCAGTTCCTCGACGTATGTACAATTGGGGCCAAACACGATGCCAAGTATCTCAACCAATTGATATTCATTGCAAAGACTCATAAGAGGCCATCCCTATCGGATTTTGCATGCAAAAACTCGTAAAGCTAGTGATTTGATTGTAATTGTGAGGATTTCTACTACAGATTAGCAGCCGAAGGGTTGGCATTGGGAGTGCCCAATATACTCTTCAAGAAAGCATCCGAGTTGGGTTCACGTCCCAAGAAAGCCTGGAAACGCCGAGCATCAAATGCAGTTCCTGCTGGACCAATTGACCAACCTTGAGTGAATCCATCTCATCTCGGCTGCCACCAGGAAGTAGGATCTCATGTCGATACCTTTTGCCTGTTTGTTGATGTAAGCACAAAATTCGACCCTAGTGTCTTGTGAAAGACGTACCAGACTCGGCACTCATCGGATCCTTCTTGAACACAGTCTCATACATATCAGCGGAGAATACCTGAGAGTACAAATATCCGTAGTATCCGGCATCGTATCCTATAAAAAACTAGGCTTCAAAGAAGGTGATGGGGGGGGGGAAACGAATACGACCAACCTCCAGTGATATGCCCAAATGAGCCCTGGCCAGGAGTAATTTTATCGCCCGTCTTGACAAGCGACACCTGTTCCCGAAGGTCACACCAGAACTTACTGTAGTCTTGTATTTCTAAGCGGGACCCTGAGTCAAAACACTGCAAAACGAGAGCAATCAACAGGGAATTGGAAACTCACCCCCTGTGGTGTCGGTGTGGACTTTGATGTCGAACGTGCCGAAGAACAATTGTCGTAATGAGAACAGTCCGATATTGACATAACGGCTGAAGAGCGCGGAATGATGAGGCAACGTGTTGAATCGAGAAGGAATGAACTAACCTTTTGATAAGCTTCTCGATTAGGTCATCCGGTAATGGCTGCTTAGTCTCGTAGTGGCTGGAGACACGCCTAAGAACCGAAGGCTCCCAACACCAATTCTCCAACATCTGTGATGGAGCCTCGACAAAATCTCTCGCGACGCTGCAGGAATCATTGAGATCATTCTCATTCAGGTTGAGCTGTAGAGTCCCAGGACCTACCTTGTTCCATGGAATCGACCAAATGTAGTACGACTGAGCAAGCCATGGAATACGTGACCCATTTCATGGAAATACGTCACCACATCGTCATGTCGCATCAAGGCAGGACGGCTAGGAGTCGGTTTAGCAAGATTAGCAACCATGCAAGCGACAGGATATTGGCGTAAGCCATCTTGCTTCAAAAAGCCTTGGATAAGTCCCCATACTGCAGCGTGACTATACTTATTCTCTACGATGGAGATAAAGCAGTTCGAGGAAAATCTAGGTGATCCTGTAGTATAACTTACCTCGAGGATACAAATCAAGGTAAACATCGCCCAAAAAGTCCTTCTCGGTTGTTGCATCAGCATCCCAGACCTCAAAGTGCTGGACATCTGTAATTCAATTTGATAAGAATGGCTAAGTCCTAGCTGACGCAACGATGGAAGAACCCTACCAGGATGCCAAGTTCCAACCTTCTCAGGGCTTACTCGAAACTTAACACCAAGCAATTCCTGGTAGATTTCGAGGATGGCGGGGACGACAACTTCGACCGGGAAATACTCCTTGATAAAATTATCATCCAAATCCAAGAATTTCTCAATAAACGCATTATCGTAGTAGCTGAAGGGGGGCGGGTGAGCCACTTCAGAAAGATCGGGGGAATAATGCCCACCGGTAATCCCTATGCAAAAGTGCATGTTATAGAACTGCATCGTAAACTCATCCTTTCTGCTTACCAAATGTAGAACTCGTTGTCAAAAGGGTATCCGTATCTCTCGTGCTGCTCCTTCTTGATCTTAAGAAGCTCATCGCGTTCTGCAGTATGCTTTAGCAACATATCAGTGGCTACGATAGGCTCCGACTACCTTTGAGACCAATCGGAGTCAGTTTCTTGCGGAGATCCGCCAAAAACTAGACAGGGGAACAAAAGCCGGGTCAACAAACAATTTGGACTAAACAAATGTTCTCGCCTACTTCTTCGACGGCCTTTCCAGTCTTGATCATTTTATCTTCCTCGACATAATCCGCCCACGTTTTGTAGTTCATTAACTTAGCGAGCCTTCGGCGGAGATCAATTGCCTTGGTCAGTAGTGGCACGTTGATCGCAAGCTTGCTTTCAGAGGCTTGGAGTATTTCTTTACGCGTTTCTGGGTCTTGTGCATGCTTTAGCTAGCGGAGATCAGGAGAGTACCCGCTAAGCTCCTGTCTGGGTCATTCAGGGGGTCACAACTTACGACGGGCATCAGATCGGGAGTCTTGAATGTTACGACATACTCATCATCCTTCTTTCCATAACCGTTGATCACATCCTCCGGTACTCCCTTGAGTTTCCTTGAGGTATTTTAACGAAATTTGTGTTCTCAGTTGCCAATATGATGCTCACTCTTTCGTGAATGTGATGGTGCCTTTCTCCTCATTGAAATTTTTCTGTCATGCGTGTACTCCACGTGAATACGCAGAATGACACTGCAAAAAAGAGGCGCGACCCACCGAAAATTCGGTGCACGTATTCGACAACTCTTTCTTAAGCTAGATTAGGAGGAAGAAATCAGTCTAAGATTTCAAAACGAGCGAGAGACAGGAAAGGTATTAGGGGTACGGACATTGAAAGATCACTCACCGTGGCAACCTGATTCCTTGTTTCTTCGGGGAGGTCGAGCCCATTTCTCTTGCCATCTAGGAGTAGCTTCTCCACCAAACGGTTCTCCTCAGGTGCAAGCTTCAACTCCTCTTTGTCAATGTTCGCCTTAGCGGCTTTAAGAGCCTCGAACACATCAATTCGCATTGATGCCTCAATGCCATATTCATTCAGGCGTTGCTCGGCGGTATTGGCGGCATTGCGGAGCTCATCTTGAGTAGAAACGTACTGGTAGAACGTAAGAGGGCCAGTAGTGTTTTCGAGCTCAGATTCTTCCTTGGCGAGTTCAAGGAAGACATTTTCGAAGGTGCACGAGGAACGAGGTAGGGCGGCGATCTTATCACGAATCGCGCGAGATCTTTCGATAGCTAATGTGGTTGTTTCCGAGATAGCTGTAGCGCTATGATCCCACTTCAGGGGGACGCGTGGCGCTTTCGGTTTGGCACCGAGTTGGGTCAGGTCCGTATTAGACATGAGGAAGGAGGTCAACGGATTGCTGTGCAAGAATCGAGCACAAGAGACAAAATTGGTGTTACTGTAGAGTGAGTACGAGAGTACGCCAAAGCAAAGCGCCGCAACCGGTCTAATAGTGCCTCCCCTGCGAATATTCTTATATGCGCCAAGCGGCGAGGTTAAACCAATGCTTCCCAGCAGCCCTCTTTGGGCCAGAGCCATGGCCAATTTGCTTCCGAGAATACATGGGCATGCAAGCACCCGAGTCCCATGCGTATAGAACTTGGAGATGGCACGAGATCTTTCGTTTCATGGTTTGGTGGGGGACATTGGGCTTATCCACCTCCGTGATTCGACCATGATTGGCCACATTGTGCACTCACCGGGCCGTCCAATACCCGTACCGGCGACGTGTATGTACATGTATTTAGTGTGGCCGATAGCTTCAAAGGAAATAAAGGATTTGCATGCACTCTCCTATTGCCAATAGGGTCACAGTACTCCCGGTCGGTCCAGTCGGAGCAACTGTCCCTTTTGGCAACAGGACTGCAACGTGCGCATTTGGGGACTAGTGTACTAGTGCACGATTTGAACTCGCCTGACCATCGCCCTGAGTAAAGGTCGTCAGCTGGCTTTCGAACATGTTCTTGGGATGCAAGGCCCCCACACGAGGATTCCATCACCTGAACAAAAATCCATCCTCCCCTTTCGCTCGACCCGACCCTGGTTGGTCTATCCATGCAACTGAGTGCCAGGGCTAAACGATCCCACTAATCCTGGGCGCCAAGCGTCGGTCATTTCTACATTCATGAAATGCAAAGCGAATGATTCGGGGAGTCCAAGTATGACTGGGGCAACGACGAAATTCTGCCAGAGCATGACGACCAGTGCAAGACCCAGGCTCAACGGCACCCTGATTTCGGGCTTCTACAAGCTACCGCAAGGGCTACACCATCAACACCTGACCCATTATCCATGATAGGCTTTCTCCTATCCATAAGAAACATCCTCTGCCTGAAAAGGGGCCCGGGCCTGACTGGGACTGTTCGAGACTCGACCAAATTCGTCTCCCCATGAATTTGCGCTCGATATGGCCATGCTGTTACCTGAGCTGCCCGAAAAACCTTGGTCCGCTCATGCATGTGCATGAGTGGTTCCTTCCATCGGTCGAGTTAGACGAGCCGATGTTAGGTGCCAGAGGTCAATTTTGCCTCAATCTCCATGATTTATCTCATATCATATGAATCCGAATCAATGAAACAGAAGTGTTGGATGCTCAAAGAGAACGTGGATAATGCGTAGTATACAGTGCAAGAATGAGATCAACGGAGAGTACATGGCTAGGCATGTCGTGTATCATTAATAATATGGCGCTATAAAATCGTGGAAGCTTGCAGATATCCCTCTAATCGCAGCATATGGCTTTAGCTACGCAGGTAACACATCTTTCGGACCGTCCACACCGACTTCTGGTAAAGGTCGAGGTACAAACTCCAAGTTCATTATTATGAGTGGCCAAACTACCGGAAAAGGTAAGTTGTCAAATACGCTGGTGGGATACCGATGGCTAACCTTCCTCTGTTTGCATTCATATTTCAATGGAATCCAATTGGCAGGATAAGAGGACGGAACGAGATCGAAGATGGGAAGAACTACACATACCGAAGCCAGGGTGTCTACCTAGACGAACTTGCCGGAATACGTCCCTCATCGCCTCGCTGGATTTGATCTCGGACCAGTTAGCGAGGAAAAAGTCCACTTGTACCTGAAACGAACGATATTTGAAAACGGATTTGCAAGCAGGAGTAAAGGCAATCACAGTACCTTGCGTACGTCCTCGAATGCAGCTGAAAATGAGGAGAAGATTTCGAAGGATATGTTGTTGACAGAGAGGCTCTTGACGATGTGCTGTGGGGGGAGAGTCAATGAGATTCCGGCATTTGGAGACGAGAACATGACCGACCTGGAATGCACGAGCCTTCAACTCCGTCAAGCCAAGCTCTGCGGGACTCTCAGCGACAGTCAAATGACCTGTATCGAAATACACCTACTGTCCGCCAATCTATAACAAGCCTTCGCCGAGCAGGGGCGCGGTCTTCCCGGATTTGTGGCAGCCCAACTCCGGATCCATTCTTTCCTAGAACGATGGGGACTCTCAAAACCCTCGCCACCAACCCCAACGCCTTGCCTGCGGCTAGAGGTCTGCGAGCCGTAAAGTGGATATCGAGAATTTGTTTGAGAGGATACAATTTGTTGATGATGGGATTGTGAGACGCCATACAGGGGCAAGATTGGCTGGGACTGGAAGTAGGCAGGCAAGTGTTGTTGATACGGAGATCCGGAGGATGAGGATCGCACAGTGTCTGGGAGGTTCTGTAACCCTGTTGGGGACGCACTCGTGGACTTTGAGGTGAAGTCAGATGTGAGAGGGGAGAAGACTATGGAGTCGGTGTACAACTAAAGGGAAGTCAGCTATTAAAGGGAAATGGGCCAAAAGAAATGCTCACATAGTAAAGAACAGCATAATAAGTCGCATATTCACATTCCTTGACGATGACCTTTGTCTTCTTCGGGCCTGGAATGATTGCTTCATCCACAATTGGTCTTGGATGAGGGGAATGACCACCTGATCTATTTCGGGGAGCAAACCCAGAGCTTCTTTTTAAATCGTCCGCATATCTTCCGCTTCGTTGCGAGGCCGACAGATCCCCAGCACTCAAGGCTCTCCGATTAGTTGCGCCAATGACTTGGGTTTCCCGATGTGACGCTCCAGAAGCCGGATCGATTGGACGCGCTGATGGCTCCGAATACGTATCTTCTTTCCCAATTATGTGGATATCTCCATCTTCAGATGGGGAGATGATACTTCTGGTGCTGAGAGTAGTATTGTCTTCTGTATCTGATACGCTTCGGCGGCCTCTTACGGTCTCAGAGGTCGTAAAGTCAGACACATCATCACGGGTATCGGAGAGGTCTTGATTCTCCATCGTGCCTCTGCGCGATTGCGGTCGTTCCTCTTGAAGTCGTGGTGAGATCGGTGGAAGGTTCGATAGGGAAGGTGATTGAGTATACGAGGGAAGGATACCGTCGGTGGTAGATCCTATAGAATTTCGGAATGATTCCATCGTAAGGTTTCGATCACGGGGTAGGCGAGGGTGAACCGAAGATGAGTCAGGAGCAACACTTGTCGGTACAAATGACTGTGAGAACGAGCGTGTGTGGTGGCGAAAGCGAGATTCCGTCGTTGAAATCGGGAAATGAGTGTTCGACGGCGTTTGAGGGCCGGGCGATTCCTCATCTACGTCAGCTATCACAGCTTCCTGGTGGTTTGATGGTGGATCGTGGTCTCCTGATGCATCGAATTCCTCGTCCGAAGAGTCCTCATCCGAATCCTCGAATGGATCTTGTGACCAATAGTCAGTGTAGCCGTCATAGTCATCTTCTTGGTTATCTTCATGATCATAGCCGTAGTCTCCAGAGGCCACAGAAAGTGATATGGAGTCTGCCCCTCGATAAGAACGTCTATACGCCCCGTTGGATATTTTTCCGGCATTGTGACCATCAGTTATACCTTCAGCAAAGCCGGAAGAAAACACTTCGAGATTGGAAGAGCGGCAATGAGATGGAGCCATCGGAAATCAGATCACACATACTAGTATGAAAATAGTCAACTCTTTGGAGTATCTTTCTGGCCGCGTAGATAGTCTTGGGCTTTCCCACCTTCCCCCTAACACCTCTCCGCTTTTTCGCCGGCAAAACGAAACACACATCAGAATACGTAGGATCATCTAACATATCCCCAACGGCGTCCAGGAGTCCTCGCGGCACTGTCCTGACGGGGGTAGGGGACACAGCACTTGGGGCAGCAGATGCAGATGTGATGTTGCATATGACAAGGAACGCATCAACATGTCGAACGGTATTAGGAGTGTAGAAGACTGCGTCTCGCTTAGCAAATTGCGCCCAGCCCCAATTGGCTGTCTTGTATGAAAAGGAGTGATCACAGGCTTCTTTAGGAGATGTAAGAGCCCCGCGATTTACACTGAGCAACAAAAAAACGGTAAACGATGAGTCTTGATGACGCAGACTTGATAGCAGACCGACTTTCGAATTTCAAAGCTGAACTTGAAGAGTCCTTCCCGAATCCACCTGAGGAAATGGTTAAGACACGCAAACGAAGAGATATAAGGGACGGATCAACTTGCTTTCCGTTTACAGAGCGTTCTTTTTCGTCTTCCGCAGGTTCACAGGATAAGTAAAGTGAAACATAATTCCCTCCCTCATGCCCACTGAGAATGGGAAGCACATGATGAGATTGCTACTAGACAAATATAAACGTACACACCTGTTCGCGTAGAACAGAACCTGCCAACGCCTAAGCAGCACAAATCCCATGAGGAACACGTGTAAAAGTGCAAACACGTTCCGATCCATAGGAGACGTACCCTCCTCCAAACTTGACACTCTTCGTTACTTTACTCTTCATTTCGCCCTTACTCGAATCGAAGAGCTGCTTCAATCCACGAAGAGTCCATTCCAACGTTACGGTCGTGCTTTCCGTGTATTCAATCGCGTCTCCCACATTCAGAGAGATGGAGTTCGAGTTCGATGCCATCCAAGGAGTTCGCACCTAACCCAAAAACAAGGTTTACGGGTGAGCAATTGTCGAGAGAAACCTTGACGTGCTAGTAGACAACTAACAGAGTTCCGTTGTTGAGGTACTGCAACGAGGCAGAAGAGCTGCTCACGACCGAGGCTTTATTAATGGTCTGGAACTGAATAAGTGGTGGCAGTGTGACGCTTCTCGTTCAATCGAACCGTCCCCCTAATTAGTAATGGGAACAAGAGACCAAACTCGGCGATCCATATGGCCAATTGTGATGTGTACAGCGTTTGCGGGAGAGGCATTGGTAAATGTGAGCCGTTGTTCGCCTCACCTTTCGACCTTCGCTTCTGCCCAGACGACGATAACGCCTTCTCCTGAGTCGCCAAAGCGAGCACTCAGGGGGGTAGCGGAAAAATAGCACGTCTATCTACCGGCGACAGATGGAGAAGGCACCACGTTTCTTCAATCGGACAGGAGAGATGCGTGTTGAAGGCCGCTAGCGACGAGCGCTCATGAAACAGTGCGGTTATCGTCACTTTTGCTACCCCTATACGGCGTACCCAATGAGTGGGATCATATTATTCTCAGCTCGGCAGAGGTTCACCATTTGAGATATGTCAGGGGTTTTCACCCCGAGTTCCCTCCACATGCCCAGGTATCCAGTCCGCTGTTGCCCCACGCGGCTACTCCTAATGGCGTGAATTAACTTCCGATGGATTCGCTTTAAACTCCGGTTGCACACATGGGCTCTCTAACGTGCTGCCATAATGTTAACGAGGGTGTTTCTCGTGAAAACATGGGCATTCATCCTATATGCAAACCTTGGTTCTTGTCCTGCAACTTGCGCGTTCTTACAGTCCAAGTAGTTGTACATACTAATTTGGGGCAATCTGTTTCCTATATAATGCGTGATAGGGGGCAAAGTCAATGCGCCGGTATAACGTACGAAACTATTTTGTGTTCTTAGCTAACGCTGGCTTGCAGGTCTCCTCCCATGGCTCCGCTTCAGTTGGGCACCGCTGTTGGCTCAAGGACATCCTCTGCGGGCTTGATGGGGTCGCGTGGACCAATTGCACCGACCAGAGCAGTACCAAATAGCTCCCATGCCCACAATGACTCAAGAAATGCCTATATTACAGTCTATGTAGTATGCTCTAAATTGGAAAACCATATTGGGGGCTCTTCAGCAGCCCAATTTGGGAGGCGGTCACAGCGAGACCGTCTGAAGCGTGACCCGGTATGCAATCTTGTAGCTGATTACCTGGAATTGGACCATTGAGGTGAGCATTGCATGGGAGGGTGGCGCACGGAGATATGAGACCACGGAAACGAATTCCGTGCATGGAAGAATACATATTTGATCGCTCTGAGGTAATAAACGCTATCATCGTCTTGTTACCTAAATGGTCTCGCTTAGTGGCAAGACGCTCTATTGTGTTCCTTAATGCATGATTGGACTACATAAAACGGGCTTGCCCGCGTCCAAGCGTGCCCGTCCCCGTCCGATGAGCTCCGCAGCAGATTCCTCGCTAAATTATACACGCCCTTGCCGTCTGGCGCTGACAATTGCTTCCATCTCGACACAAACCGGCCGGAGACGCTGCATGAAGCTTCTAGGATTCAATACACGCAAGCATTACCGTTGGCCACCGATGCGATGGCCATCTGTTAACGTCTGAACCGATCCTTGCCCGAGTTGAGGCTAAATCCAACAACCACAAACACCAAGAAAATAACAAACTAATCCCCGGCCCTCCCCGCCGCCCTGACAATTTCTTGTATGCCATGTCTGATACAAGTTGCCTTATCGGCTATATATCTTGTCGTTATTATATTGAGGTGTCAAGCAACCGCAGTCATCAAGGGTCATGCAGCATCTCGACTCAGGAAGTGTATGAGTATTACCACTGGAGGACACACGAAAAGCCATCCTATGTTCTGCAAGCTGAACATCCGGAAAGATAAGGGAGGAGTGACAGGTTCTTTAGTTAATTGCTGTATTGTGACTAGGGATGTCTGCTGTCTCAGCGGAGCTGGATCAGGTGAATGAATTAGCTGGTATATTTTTTTTCCCTTTCACGTCTAGCTGGGCCCAGTCACAAGGCTTTCGCGCGTATAAAGTCCTTTCATGCACAAGAGTGAGAAGCTTGCCCACTTGAAATACCACCTATCATAACGTTGCAGCATTTCTGACATAGTTACGCGGTACAACGCCCCACAGTATTAGTAGCTAGGGTTGCGCGCATACATATTTTTGGTTCAATGCACTGTAAAATGAAAACAGAAGTCGAGAAGGATGAGTGACTGATATCAACTACATATGATTGGGGCATTCAATTTTCCCTGGACCAGGAATCGAGTTTCATCTTTTGCTAGCCTGAGGGAGTTAATAAACCAAATCGATCGTCATATCAGGCTTCTCCATTGCGCGTACGATGCATGTTCTGTTTGATGGGAAGGCACCCCAGTGGGAGAACAAGTTCACATATATATATATAGATTAACCAGCAGGTACGTTTTAACAGGACTCTTCTTGTTGCAGAGGAATGAACTACCCGGAGCTTGATGGTTCACAATATTGCAAACAAGTCGTACCCTCTTCCAGCGTCAAAGGAGTGGGTGGTCGAGGGAAATATATGGATTCAAGGGAGAGATAGTCGTAAGGTGGCACGACATTGGTGTTATTAAAACTCGAAATTTGGTGCATGAAATTGAGCGATCAACTTGATTAACCAGACGCGAAGGCATTATACCCTCATCATAAGCGTCAAAGTGCCTGCCTCTAGGAGAGAATTAAATCGGATGGTATGCATGAAGGGATGAATATACCAGAAATGGGTTTGGGAAGATTGAGCAGCGGAAGAAATAAGAGTGGAAAGAATGGAAGGAGATGCGAGAAGCACCCAACCCAGACCCTATACATAGAAGGTTTCATCCTTCGCGATAATATTATTCACATGCTATCACAAGTTGGTGATTCAGGACGACAAGTTGACTAAGTAGCATGGCAAAGGTCGGAGGCAGCTCATCAAGCAAAAGGACGAGCTTCATCAAGGATTCCGAGCGCTTCTGTGTCGCCACACTCATCTAATCCATCCAGGACGATTACAAGGATAGGATATCCCAGAGTTCACGCATTGGATCGATGATCCGAATTTTCATCTCTTTCTCTGCAACGGGACCCGGAATACTGTTTCATGAAGCGGACTGCAGCGGAAGCCGCCTAGCAAAGTAAGCTCTTGTACTCAGCATCGAACGCTGCCAGCTGTAGAGCAAGGATAGAGAGAAAGTGCTCTATCGAATCAAGACCCATTATTGATTAGTGCTTGTCCCAGAAGAAAACACGCAGCGAGGACATGTTGGGGCGTCAAGAATAGAGGGTACACATAGATATCGCAGTCTTCCCAGTCCCGGGTGAACCACGCAACGAATCGCCTGTTAGGTGATTGAGAATTGAGCTGCAAGTCTCGACCTGTGTATATTCCATCGGCTTTGAGAGCACGTCCAAAAAACGGCAATGTGCTAAAGCTGAGTCTGGAATCAATTCAAGCAAACAGAACGAACCGCGAAACGTGAGGGCGCACTAGTGATATAGAAGCCTTCACATCGCTTTATTTTCCGAGTAAAACTTTGAGATTATTTACATAAGAGAGTGGCCGAGGGATCGAGCACAATTCACATACGAGTGGAAGTCTTTCACCAGGAGAATTCCTTCAGGCGGAACTTGACTCGTTTGGCTGGCCGTCCACATTTGAAGCGGCTGCAGGGTGGTCCCGTACGTAAGCTCTTTGGACTTCCTCATTCAATCCTTTGAGATTTGTGTCGTTTGTGTTCGAAAGTCTGTATCGGTGTCAGGCACGGGGGCATGAGCCTATCGATCGTAAAAATGGAGTGATGGTTGCCGACCTCGTAAATGTGTAGCCACGTCACTAGAAATTTCGGGATTTTGGGATCGGGGGGAAAAACTTGAGAACAAAGGCCGCGGTCATTGGAGCGTTGGTATTATAGATTGTTTTGTTTCGATCACGGTCCGAACTCATTCGTAGGCTCCAAGGGAAGGACAGTAATACCTTTGAGGAATACCTTCAAGCGATGCATGCCAGATGTGCGCGAGGATCGACATCTGATTCAGGGGCTCGGGGGAGGGAGATGAGGAGGGTTGGGCGAAGGCTGGAAGGACGTACTTGGGTTGGATGATTTGAGCTCTGGTGTGCCTGGTCATTCGCGACTTGCTTGGGCTTAGTCTTCTGCCGGTCCTCTGAGCCAAACGGTGTAGTGCTAACGGTTCCGAGTCCCGACGTTGCCGGCCCGAGAGCCGACTCGGCGGCGAAGTGGCGCCACAATTGCAAGGTTTCATGGTGCTTTGGGGCGGGACCGATATCGCGATCGATGCTTTCCATCGAGCGCTGTCGTTAATGAGCGACCTTTCCCCTTTGAATCGCTTTCTTCTGCTCTGGTCACTTGTTACTTGAACTACTATGCACGTGAAAGTGTATAAAAAGACAACGTGCTAAGTCAGAGAGCATCTAACTACCACTCCTATATCGCACTCAGTCGTTTATAATAGGTGCTTGCATTCTGAAGATGGGTGACGTGATCGATGGGTGCCTTGGGCGTGCAAATTTTGACCAGGGTTGGTTGTGACCTGAAAAGACTCTCGATTGGTTAACAAACATCTACCCTTCGGAACGATCAATTTTTTTGTTCTTTTCTTTTTCAATTGAATGGCCTTCTCTTTCTGGTGGACTGAACCGGGGGCATTCTGCGGTTAGCAAAGATCTGCGGTTATGCAGTTCCCAATCGCTAGTTATCCCAGAAACCTTTACTTGATTGTTGATACCTGATACAAACATAGCACCTGCCCCTCGTTATTCCAGGCGATCGATGTTGGAAAGAGAACGCTGCCCACGAAAAATTGATGTGAGTATGCGGAAAAGGACTCTGACAACCGGGGGGGGGGAGGTGTCTCAATCGACGGACACTCGATTGGATTGCTAAAAATTTATTACAAGTTTGACGAACGCGTGTGCTTCTACGTCGACGCTATACGCGGATTTACGCCGCGGATTTGGGTTCAACGCCTAGGCACATTGGAAAGGAAGTGAGGCTTCGGAGAAAAGTAAATATAGTAACGATGAACTCCGACATCAATTATTAAATACAAGATCGGGTATCGTGGCTTCGCTGGCGTTGCTAACTCATCAGCTTCACTACCCGGCACAACTTGCTTCTCGTTCCAAAAAAAGGTCCACCAGGGAACGTACGTACGTGATGGACAACTTGGGCAATGGCTACATGTAGCGAGTCAAAATTTCTCATGCTTTCTTCACTGCATCCATGCTCACGGGCCTATGGACGCCTACCTTTCCCTTCCGATGAACATAAAACCTGAATAATGGCCGCCGCACCTTAGGGTTCTAGACGCGCAACGTGTTGTAATCCTGAGCACGGATTCTACGTAACATTATTCCAGTTCCGATAATGTCGACACCTGCCCAACCGGCACATCACCATCATCAATGTTTAATATTTCGCCAACAAGATTTTTCCACTTTCTCTTCGATCAGCTGCGATCCTTTGTTTAAAAGCTTCCCTTGACCACTTGTCGCGACGACTTACAACTAGCTTGTCTTCCCTCAAGCTACTACGGTGCCAGTGGGATTTTCCAAACATGTTCAGAGGCGCTGAGTTTTTCTTGCTTCTCCTCTTCACTGCTTCCGTCTTCACCTGGCCTGCTGTCCAGAGGCAGCAGTTACCCCGCCTTCCACCGAGGCTTCGGGAACCTATGCGCGGAGGAACGAACGCGAAGCGACTCGCGAGGGGTTTACCTCCTTTACCGCCAGTTCGGAGAGCCTCAACTGATAGTAAGTCTGCAGCCACCTTCACTGGCATGAAGATGTATGGCGTGATGCGGTTCGATCTCCAGCTTCCAGCAGGCCAGGCCCAAGTGCTTCGTTGGAATCAGCATCAACAACTCAGAGTAAGTCTGCAGCCACCTTCACTGGCATGATGATGTATGGCGTGATGCGGTTCAATCTCCAGCTTCCAGCAGCCTAGGCCCAACTATTTCGTTGCCCTCAACAACTTTGAGTAAGTCTGCAGCACCTTCACTGACATGAAGATGTATATGGTGTGATGCGGCTCGATCTCCAGCTTCCTACAAGCCGACCCAAACTTTTAACATATCATCATCGTCGACTTACTATCAAATGGGCGTGTGGCCCGTGGGGATGGTGCCGGCGGGGGCGGCGGCAGCGAATGTAGATCCCCTTGGGGTCCTCGGGGTGTTCGTTGGTATGGGGGCGTGGGTGTTTCGTCTGCTTGCTTCTTGTGTCGCATCTGAGTTGACGCCTACCTTGATCGCCGGTAGGTACGGGTTGGTCCCACTGACGGCTGGAGCGGCTGGGGCAGCGGCTGGGGCAGCGGCTGGAGCAGCAGCGGCTGGGGCAGCAGCGGCTGTTGGTGCCTTGATGCTTGTTCCTGATCTCAAGTTCAGTCTCTGGTTTAGCGTCAAGGACGTTGTGCGTTACCTTGCTTTCCTCCGTCTACATCGAGGTTTTTTTCTAAATGCAATTCTCCAGAATGCTCCGCCTTGCCATCAATTTTTTTCAATTCTCGTCGAAAAGGGTGGTTCTATAGCGAATGGAGACGTGAATTTTTTGGGAAATTCAGAGAAAAGTACGTCGATCGGGGAGCACTCATCAACTAACCTGATCTTTAATTCCCCCCTTAAACGTTAAACGCAGCTGACCTCAAGGTCCCCCCTCAAATTGGTGGCGGAGTTTCCGTGGAGGGAATGTATTACCAGACGACGATTTGGGAGTATAACGTCACAACCTTTCAACTCACGCCCTGGTACACGGGATTTGATAACAGTAAGTGTCTTCCTTTTGTTCCATTCGGGAACTCGTGCCCTCGGGGGTGAATGGCCTCTCTGTCTACATTGCATGGCAACGCTGAATTGGGACATTTCCACAACAGAGACGATCAAGGCACAGCTCGTGTATAATGTTAAAAACAACTCCGTGTCTTTCAGGCCTGCGACGGACACTATAGTTAATAGTATTTTCCAACAGGTTGTGGTGCGTGAGCCATTAAAGTTGATGTCTCGTTGTGTATGAGTTGTGTTGCTGATTTTACACCCGTCTTGTAGGATTTCGCTCTACATGCATTTTGATAGGGCTGGGGAAAGTTATCAATTTTTGTGTCCTTTCGTACTGGTGCACAGAGCTTATGTGTTCGCAAAAGCGCGGATAACAAGCACGACTTCTAGTTGTTTTTGTTTTTGTTTTTTCTGCTGCTTCGCGTCCGATACACCATTGTTCATTATCTGACGTGGGATTGCTGTGTTTCACCGTATTGAGTCAGCAAATTGTTTCTTCCGAAGTCATGCCATATCGTCGGTCTGTTTGATATGACTTGCGCGCTAAAAGACTGTCGAGTTGAAGTGTGTGCCCACTCATCATTGCTTGAGACACCAATAGGAATGGCGAATGTTTCCCAAGTGTTTGTGATGATGCATGTGAGTCAGATGTGTTAGTCTGGGCACCTAGCTTGGACAACTTATCCGCTGAGCATCATGAGGCTAACTTTCAAGTTGGTAATGAGGCTCAGCAGATAGGTCGTCCAAAGTATAGAATCTGGCCCTCAGATCCGCCTACAAACTGTGCATAACAACTGGTAAGTTGGTTGAAGTGCCACAGGGTATCGGACTCGATGTATATACTAGAGTGCGTGTCTTCGCACGTGCTGACCTGCACTGCTTTGCAGCACCAGGGTCGATTTTTTGAGGACCAGAACCGGCCCACCGGGACCATCCCAAAATTTTGCTGTCCTGGTCCTGTCAAACTGGCAGGACCAAACCATAGGTGAACCAAACCGAACTGCAGTTACAGTCCTAGGACCGTTCGGTCCTGAGACCATCCCAGCAATCTTATTATGAAGAGAGTGTTGGAGAATATAATATGTTCCCAATAGTATAGAGTTTAACAGCCTATACTGGCATGGCTCAAGGGCGAGTAGTGTATGGATGCATGCTAGAGGTCCTGGGTTTGATACCAGGCTTGTCCATGATTTTATGTCCTTGCCACGTGACCTGGATTTGAAGCCATTTGAATTGGAGCTCCGGATAAGTCCAGTAGTTGCACTGGATACAATTTCAACAGAGAGAGTGTGTGTCATATTGTCAGGGACGTGTCCAGGGTCGAGGGGGCCCAGGTGTAATGCCTGGCGCTGAGGCCGTCATGGGGTGTGGAGTGGGTGTGGATACTGATGGGCCCAATGCAGGATGGTGGTCCCTGGCCACTCAGACTGAAGTGGGAATCATGAGTTGTTATTAAAAGGGGAAACTATGCTATTTACCTGAAGTGGGAATCATGAGAAGAAGGTTACTTCTTCGGTTCCCACCCCAGGAACCTTTATGTACATGCGGCTTGGGTCACATGAGGTTTGCCACATCACCCTGCATACAGCTGCAGTCATCCAGGTGTCCCTGTGGGGGATCCTGAGGGTGTGTGCTGCATGCACATGTGCTGGGTTGCACCGTGAGGCCATCTGGGTTGTCTGGGGCTGGGTGTGTTGTGCACGTGTCGCAGGCAGGTCAATAATACATAGATATGGGGAGAGGTTGTCCATGTAGATAAAGATAAAAGAAAGAACAAAAGAGCAAGAGAACAAAAGGACAAAAGGAAGAACAAGAAGTGGGGAACAGTGATGAAGGGTGAGGAGTAGAGGTGAGTGGGATACTGGGTGAGGGTGGGTGGAGCCAGGTCAGGCAGGTGTAAGGTTGTTATGGTTGAGTTCGTGAGTGATCTCGTGATAGTCAAGTGTTGCCTCACACTCCCAGTCTGTCAGATATACACTGTATGTAGCTATATTATCAATGGGGGAGTAAAGGCTTCTCCTTCCTTTATCCCTTCTCATGTAGGTTATATACAAGATTGTAAATACATGTGATTAATGCGGTTTGGGACCACATGGTACAATGAGAAAATGAACTATCATGTCAGGTACAAACCTAACATGATAAATACAGAATGAATTAGGGAGGGCTGCAAGTATGCAGCCTATCTCCCTTACAGCGGGTGTGCCCTGACATCACCGCCTCCTTAAGCCGCTTCACCTTGAAGTGGCCAGGGGGTTCGTTCTCTCCCTTCCTGGGGCATGGGGGTGTCAGGGCATACACCCTGACCTAGCCCATACCCGCATCCACACCCACACTCGCACCTGCACCTGTGCCCGCACCCGGCTGTTGCACTTCCCACACACACCCTGTGCCGGACGCTCAGTGCAGCCAGATGGCCTGGACCTTGGGTCTTGGGTCTCATGTGACTTCCGGATATCTCTGGAAGTTTTTGATCTATTGTGGCCACTGTGGGAAGATGAGAAGTTAACTTCCTTCTCATCTCTGACCCACAGTAGGCAAGTTGTATATACTTGCCTCTCTTCTATATATCATCTCTGACCCACAGTAGGCAAGTTGTATATACTTGCCTCTCTTCTATATATCATCTCTGACCCACAGTAGGATTGTGCCCTGGATAGGGCTGGCCAGACCAGAGACTGTGGACCATAGGGGAGGGTCATGGGGACCCGGGAGTCGTCCCCTGACACTTTTGGAACATACACCCTGCCTTGGTAGAGGACCAACTCTCCCTGTCTCTCCCACTCGTCTGGCCTCAGCATCCCTTCTCCTAATTCCCTCATGGCCTTCACCACCTGCTCGTCATGATCCTTCACTCCTCGTATCCTCTCCAGAATATCCACCTCCTCACCTTCTACTGAGACTGCCTCTGTTGCATGGGCCTCAAACCAGGCCAGTTGGAGGAGTGTCAGCTCCTCATTGTCGTCCCTTCCCTTCGGGTGGTCAGCATGGCAGGAGAGTGCATCCGGTTTTCCCATGAGCTTCCCTGGGTGGTGGATGAGGGTGAAATGGAAGCGGGAGAGGAAAAGGGACCATTGAGCCTGACATCGATTCAGCCTCTGGGCCATCCGGAAGTAGCCCAGGTTATGGTGGTCGGTGTAGATCTCGACTTTCTCCTCAGCACCTTCCACAAAGTGCTGCCATTCCTCAAGGGCTTGGATGATTGCAAGCATCTCCTTATTGTACACTTTGTAGTTGCACTCTATGTCCATGAAACTTTTGGACATGAATGCTACTGGGTGGAACTCTCCATCCAGTTGGAGTTGGGAGAGGACCCCACCGGTTGCAAAGTTGGATGCATCGCACTCGAGCTTGAAGGAGCCATGGTCAGTGGGGAAAGAGCGGACAGGGGCCATGGTAACAGCTTCCTTGAGGGCATGGAAGGCATCGTCTTTGCTTGGGCCCCAGTTCCGGGCCTGGGTCTTCTGGGTCAGCCTGTGAAGGGGGTGTGCCTTCTCAGAGAAGTCTCTGATGAACCAGCGATAGAAGTTTACGAATTCTAGGAAGGATTGTACCTCCTTCACCTTGGTTGGGGGTGGCCAGTCGAGGACTCCCTGGATCTTTGCCGGGTCCATCACGACATTACCCTCCAAGATAATGAGACCGAGGTACTCGATCTGGGTTCACTCGAACTTACACTTTTCTGGCTTAAGGAAGAGCCTCCTTCTCCTCAGTGTCTCTAGGACTTCTCAGACAACCCTCTGATGTTCCTCCAGGGTGGCCGTGAAGATCAGGATATCATCCATGTAACAGATGACAACCTCCCGGTCGGTGGAATCCCTGAGGATGTCGTTCATCATGGTCTGGAAGGTTGCTGGGGAGTTGCACAGGCCAAAGAACATCACCATGGGCTTGAACAGCCCTCGGTTGGTCGCGAACGCTGCCTTCCACTCGTCTCCATCCTTGATCCGGACATTGTTGAACCCCCAGCATAGGTCCAAGGCCAAGAAGTACTTGGCATTGTGGAGGTGGGCGAGGATGTCCAAGATGAGGGGGAGCAGGTACGTGTCATATCCCAGATCTTCCACCTCCCTCTGCTCTATTCCTATACGACTCCCCCAGCCTTTCCAATCTCTCTCTGCTGCCTGTTATAAAAATGGGGCCTAATTGGCCCATTTCTATAGCGTTCGGGTGCAGGAGGGGGCCGTGACATTGAGAAGATGTTACAATTAATGTAACAGATGTTGTAACAGTGGTGTTTACAATAACATGGACATCGGGTGTTTTGGGTGATAATAGTTGGTTCTTGTTGTATTATATACATATCACGTGACTTTGTACTGTACAGAGCCCATAAGAGGCTAGAAATGGGAAATTCCCATTTCCATAACACTGCCTCTGGTTGATGCCAATGGCCCTAGGACTACCTCCTCCTTCGACTCTCTCCCGCTCAGCCTCCCACCTACATCCGCATCACCTCTGGACCTCCACTACCATACCTCCACCTCCTTGGACCCCTTGTTCAAAGGAGATGGACCTGCTTGTTGTGGATAAATCTCAACTTGCCTATCCACCCTCCTTCCTACTTCCGGTCTCCACACCTCCAGTACCTCCTCACCTCTGGTAACTCCTTACCTCCGGTACCTCCCTATTCCTCCTTACCTCCGGTGTTGATAATCTTTATTGTTTTATCATTTGATATTTTCTACAACCCCAATCTTCTGGACTACAACTTCCGGGCTCCGGACCTTTCCGGACATCTTTCTCTGTAGTCCCCTGCTTATTCTTAGATGGTTCCAGACCTTGCCATTTAGTTGGCTTTTAATTCTCTCACTCCACAAACCCTCAGACATAATTCAGGCTTTTTGCCTATTCCTATTTGTCCTGTGGATTCTTTTCTGTTTACTTCCCCTTCCCCTTGGTAACCTTTGTTTACCTTTGGATCCAATTGTTTCTGCTATATGTATGCGTGTACCTACCCTAG